AGTTAGACTATAGTCTAAGTTTTACTTTACATAGGTAAAGTTATTATGTTAATTCTTAATATTTTAGGTTACTCAAGGACAAATATATTTCAAAAATATAAAAGTTGATAAACCATCACCTGCTTCTTGGTGGTTTGTAACTAACCAGACCTAGCTGTACTTGATGATTGGATTTTAATAAAATTGTATAGAAAAAAAGAAAACAGCTAACCTTAAACTAGGCAATACAACACTAAAAGTGTCTCACTTATGTTAAACTCATTTCTATTCATATTTGGGTTAAAGTACAACTGGGTTGCATCCTTATCTCCATAATATGATATACTTAAAGGCCAAATTTGAGGGGGTTTGATCCACCTTAATATAGGCATCCATAAATTTAAAAATGTGATTTTTTAGACACTATTAAAAGTTAGTGGTTTTAGAGTGATTGGAAAGTCTATTAATAGTTTAATCTTAATAATTTTGTTTAAAAACTTAATTTAATACAGGACAATTTCTTACTTATACTTGAGCATCGCATTCTGTGGCACTTGGTAGTTAGTCATTGGCTTTCGGAAACGAGAGATTTGCTCCAGCATGTAAGCTCGAATCTTTGTGACTGCTGCGACTTTCAGCTGTTCAATCACGTCCTTCACATCTTGGCAGGCTTTCACATCTGAAAATATTAAGAAAAATACAATTACAATGAGTAGACTCTCAGTAATCCGGCAGATATAGGACCGTGATACTGCCGGATTAGTGAAAATGCCAGATTAATGGAATGTTATCAATAAAAACACTTAAAATGCAATTAAAACACGTCTCAGAAGATCGCCCGATCGGAAACCGCTATTGGGCATGACTACGATGACGTTTCCATAATCATGGGAGAAGATGATAACGTCTACACGGCCGCGGGAGATAATCATGATTTTGCCACGATCGTGCATGATGACGATTACGTTTCCGTGACCGCAGGAGGCGATGATAACGTCTATACGTCCGCGGGAGATGCTCATGATTATGCCGTGATCGTGCATGACGACTATGACTTTTCCGTGACTGCGGGAGGTGTTCATGATTTTGCCGCAATTGCGCAAGACCACAATGACGTATTTGTGACCGTGGGAGTGGATGATGATGTCTATACAGTCGTGGGAGATAATCAGAATTTTGCGGCAATTGCGGAAGACCTCACCCGTCAAAAGACGCTGGAGGATTACTGGAGTGCCGGAGTGGTTCAGTGCTGGATTAGAGAGGGTCTACTGTAAACTTATATGAAGGCAAATATTTTTTTTTTAATTAGCCTTTATGTTTATTAATCATTGGCCTACCTTTGTAACTCTGCTCCTTGACAAAGCCTATCTTGTGGTTCAAGTCAGCCAAGTGGGTCGGAAATTCTTTTTCTGTCACATTGCACTCCAAGATCCCTCTGAAACAAAACTTTTCGGTTGTAAAAATGAATAAAACATGTAATTGGGGAAAAAAAACACAACTGACCCTGAAAAGAGGTTGGTTGTTAATGTTTATTTTGGATTTAAACTAAAAAATTATGACAATGTTGCTTAGAAGGTGGAAAACAGTTTCAAACAAATGGACTTAGTCAATTATAAAATATCAATGAGTAAATTTGATTGTTGTTAAAAAAGTACTAGGCTTAATTGATGAAACAATAAAATAAATATGAGCTAGTATCATTGAATATTGGATACAGAAGTAGACCTCCAATCTATATGGACCAGCTGTTACTAAATTTCTGCAAAAAAACATGTAGTTGTGTGAGCCAGTCACACAATGTGCTAATGTCTAAAAATTCTATTTTCTACCTTATATTTTTTTGCTTACATAGCTAATGGGTCCATAATAGATGATATAGCTTATAATAAGTCGTTCTATAAGTCTGACTTGATGAAAAACATTGTGAATTTGACAGAAATTAGTAATTTAGATCAGTGCAATCTGTCGGTTGCTCACATCAACTACGACAAATTTGATAAAAAACTTAGCGACAACTCTAGCATGGGGATGGAATGTTTAGTTGTATCAATAGTCAAAGCTAGTATATCACATGACATGATACCAGCTGAGTAGGTCAACTCACGTAATCAGTGTTGGAGGCACAGCAATGTCGTCTATAAACTGACTGAGCTGTGCTCTGACAGCCTGACGATTGTGTAGCTGCTGTGACATAGACACAGACTTGCGTTGTAGAGACACTATCTCACAGCTGATACTGCCAAGGTCAGACTGGAACCCCAGCAACATGCTCTCCATCCTCTGTACCAATCAGTCAGTTTGACTTGTTAGATTATATAAGATGCAGACAGACCATAGTGTGTATGCGATGAAAATGAGTGTGGAAAGAATGAGATGATAGTTAGCTTTGTTAGGGACGAGGATTGGCGGGTTCTTTGCCGAGGATCATTTAAGCAACATTTATTAAAAGCCCAATGATCAAGCACAACTGAGTCCAGTTTTGCACCATCAAAATGTTAACCTATCTTTTTGAAGGAACTATTTTCTCAATGTTACCAGCCGTCTAGAAGAATTTTGATCTTCTTTGTGGACAGCAGCATTTACATGCATACAACACAAGGTGCAAAGACAATTTTCAATACCGAATACATAACTTAACAATCTATGAAAAGGGCCCTAGTTACATGGGTATGAAGTTCTTTAATAATCTACCGACAAACATTAAAAGCCAAATCCGTTTAAAGAGTTTTAAGAATACTCTAAAAAGTTATCTTTTAAACCAAGTATTTTACTCTGTAAGTGACTTTTTACAAAATTAAGCAGCATCGTTATATGTAATTGTTGTTTTAGAGTCAGACAAAAATGTTCTGTAACTTAATTGTATTTTTAGGTTTATATTGAATTGACAATGTCACCAGTTTAATAGCTTTGCTATGTACAAATGTTTTTATGTGACAATAAAGTGAATTTGAATTTTGAATTCTACTGATTACTAGACAAAGGCAAGCAATATAACAACTTAGCAAAACAGCTCCTAAGACTAAGCTCAGACACACACACCAGCTGAGTAGTGAGTGGTTAGTGTTAGCATAACAAAAGCAGTCTGATCCTGAGGATAGTCAGTAGCTTTTTGATGGTTCAAAACAAGACCTAACAGTTTTTGATCATTTGGCTTTTATGGCCCTGAGCAAAGAAACAGCAGGTTTTTGGTCAGTGAAAAAGCAATACTTTAGGCCTAGTTGAATTAAATAAGTTTTTATTTCGGTCTATTTATTTGTATTTGATTAAGCCATTGATATTTATACATTTCTGTTGATAAGCTTGACTGTAAGTGCCTAATCTTGTTACTCTCTAACGCCAACCTTTGGTAGCATAGCTAGGCTACATCATTAATTTAAAATTAAAATTATGAATTTCAACTGGGCCCAGAACTAATCTGGTTTGGAATGTAACTTAAGAAACTTTCAGATTTGATGGAGAAATGGATGGAGAACAACCTCTTCATGAAAATGACCACTTGGCTGTTCTGGCAATTGATGGGATTTCTGATCCCAATAAAACAACACAGCATGCTTAGGCCTAGTAGTTAAAAGTAGGTCAAACGTACCGGTAGGCCTACCTAATAAGAAAAAATAAGTTTTAAACTTACCTCAAGTATAAAATCACATGCTGCTATTTGATTATGTAAGCTAACAATATTTTGACTTTCTTTAATATAATCTTGAATAGATTTATTTTCAACTTCTTTAAGCTCTTGTTCAATTTGGCGTGAGTACTGACGTAAATCCGTCCCTGATTTTAATACCTCTTGAACAACGTCACTCTCAAGATGTTCTTCTAGCTCAACATCAGCCATTTTCTGAAAATGCAATTTGTTATAACTTATAGATTTTAAACATTGTATAAACATACAAAAACATTTTAGGAGCACCTATAGGTGATCCAACTCCACTGTTTCTGGTTTAAGTCAAGTCTAGGTCGGAGGCCACCTTTATATGCGCGCGCTGCGACGGTTATTTTAGGTTGGGTTATCATAAATGGAAAGAACATACTTTAATTGACGTAACTTACTGTTCATATTTGACATGATATAATTTAGCGGCTTTTGAGGTCTGCCTCCCAGAAGGCAGCAATGTCGGCGAGGATTGAGTTGAATGCGTCGCTACCACACCAGATACAGGCAGTGACAGGTGATGCGCACACTCCGATCAACGACCTCACCTTAGCCTACTTGGAGGGGGATTTGGCGAGCGAAAGTATGACTAATCTGGTACTAGTAACTTAACTTATTGTTTGATTCATAATGAAACAAGGAAAGTCCTACAAACATATTTATGATAAACCAACCTAACATAACCGTCACAGCGTGCTGTATATGGGTGGCCTCCGGATAATACCAAAGTAAAGTACCCTCGAATTACATGTGTGGTTGATTCAGGACTACCATAACTGATAACTTACGCTACCTTGGTGTTAAAATATGAGCATTCCAAAACAATAATAGAGTAATTAAAAATTTCCATAGCATGATTTAACTTTTGTAAAATCATAAGAATCTGAATAAGTTATAGGTAGGCCTAGGCCTAGCTAGACTAACATAACCAAAATTAATAGTGTACTAAATTAGGCCTAAGTTAGGTTAAGTAGGAGTGCTAAGCGTACCTAAAAAGTATTTAGGCAATTACTCCGTATGTGTACATTGGGAAAAGATGTAATTTTGTTATGTCTTACTTACAGTTTTTTTCACACTGAATCCCAATCAAGAAATAAATAGTCCTGTAAACATTTAGCAGTAGCATTAGCAGAAGCAGAAATTGGTAGTTAGTTAGAGATAGAGACAAAACACAACAACAGAGAACAGAACAGAGAACAGACAGACCGTCATCAACGGACCTCAGACTGTCATCTTTGACAATCCTTCAAAAACATAACAGCTGACCTAGACCTAAGCAAAAACAAACATATGTTTTTCTCTGAAGCTGTCTGCTACTGCTGAATGCTGATTTCTGTTTTCGTTTTCCTTTCCTAGTGCCAAGTGCCACTGCCATGGCGACTAGGAAACGTCATTTATAAACGTCAAACGGACTTTTACCGAAACGAAATCTTGCCACTGTAAAAATATGACTCATTCTTGAACTATCTTCTTCTAGAGGTAAATATTTGCTTTGTGTCATCAGGTTCATAATATTTGTGATAAAGATTCATCATTAATGTGTTTTTATCTTTTTCCAAAAGGCTACATTGCTACATTAAGTTTTTAGATGTTAATTAATGTTGTATTTTGAGGTTAGTCAAATCAGATTTGTGGTCAATAGGCTACATAATTAGCTAAAGAACTTGGTACTTGTTTTTTCCCCATTATCATTTCGATTTTACCAGTCTTAACCCAGAGGGGATTTTTAGGTTTTATGTTGTTAATCTTGTTAATCTATTTCCTTTAGGCTAGGCCTATATTAAGAACTGAAAAATCCAATTTCTCATCAAACGAGTTATCGATTGCTTACACTGTGAAAAGTGATTTATTTGTTAATAACAATTTGTTAACTTATTCACCATGGGAAGATCAAAGAATGTAAAGTTTACCGACTATTGGTGGGTAGACTAGGACGGATGGCGTCGTCCTGTAATCCAGCTACTAGGAGGTCACGAATTGTGGATATTTATAGGCATGCACTGTGGATGCGGTACTCCCTGGTGTGGATTAACGTCTGCATGGGTAAGTACTACGACTATCCGCAGTACTATCCTGATAATTAGACCAATTCGTATATAACATGGAAAAAAGTGGTTCGGATTCCTCTGTAGGTCCCTTAGTCGCCATTAGCTGTATGGGCTATTAATTAACAGCTGTGTCTAAGGAATAAGTCACTAACAAGACCACAAGATCGCGCCACTCATCATACACTCATCTCCATTCATACTTGGCTTAAAATACCTACTTTGTATGGTCGCCATTTCAAAGAAAAGTAAAGTAAAAGTTAGAAAAGTATCAACATTTTTCTTAGAATTACAGGATTTGTGGTAATAACACGAAATGTTAACTTACAGACAAATTTTGATGGGTTTTATAAAAGTTATCAACTAATGTCCACACAAACCTACATATAGTATTAACTTCTGTGTAAACACGGCTTTAAATGTAACACCACGCCTGAACTCATAAAAAATCCATAAACCCCCTCAAATTCCACCCATACTAGTCCATTGTTTATGTTATTCATGATTCATTGGCCTTCTTCATTGACCCTCTATCAGAGGTAATAGAATGTGCCTAGATATTACGTAAAAAAAACACACAAAACAAGACAACATGTACAACATAAAATAATACTGTTCGTTTGCATGATAGGCAGGCAGCAGACGGCACAAAAAAATATCTGCCCCGCTCCACATTATCCTAAAAATAAACCGACTATGTAGTACGGCCTTTTCAACATCAAGTCTTTCACAACGGCTTTGAATTTCCGGTCATCCAGACATCGATGCTGGGAGAGAGTATGTTGAAAAACTGGATGGCTGACTGGGGCGGGGATGATTTAATAAATTACTTAATCAAGTAGCTCAATACTGGATGATAAATTTATGTCATAACATGTTTTGACACATTGTGTCATCATCAGCTGAGTACGGTACTTCTACTTGTGAAGTGTTGTATTCCACCAGATGGCTTCGTCATTGTTCAATAAATTAAGATAAAACATGAAAACGACACGACACCTAAACATTTAAAACACGCATAGAGACATTAATTGCAGGCCTGCTTGGACAAACATACAGTCGTGCCGCGGGTCGGGGACAGACTCTGTTGCTTTCGTGTTTTATGTTAATTTATTGAACAATGACGAAGCCATCTGGTGGAATACAACACTTCACAAGTAAAAGTACTCAGCTGATGATGACTCAATGTGTCAAAACATGTTCTGACTGAAATTTATCATCCAGTGTTGAGCTATTTGACGTAACGGTAAGTAATTTATTCTTACAATAATATAACTTATACAGCTCAGGGGCTTAACAGTGAATTTAAATTTAACGTTTTGCTCAGTCTTACCCTGGGGACATCACAAATTAGGTTGAGCTTTCCCACCAAGTTCTGTCACTGACTCTTTTGCAAACTCCTCATTAGTTGCAAACTAGACCTGAAAGAGAGAAGATGTTAACCCACGATCTATTGTGCTATCTACTGGCCTAGGAGACAATGTCTTGGACCGCCCAGCCATTGGAAAGTCTACTGCACAATAATACTGATAAAACTAAACACACTCAAGCATTCGGGTTTACTTTAGTTCTTAGTTTGTGCCTTAGGTTGTATGACGTGCCAGACAAAAGTGCTCAGCGTATTTGTTATTAACTTTTGAATTAGTTAGTGATGGTTTCGTTACTCATGATATTTGTTTGATAGGCCTATATCGTAATTTTAAAGTGTTAACTTAAGTTAGCGTAATTATTATTTGTACCATATACGTCCAAAACCACATAGACTACTGGCATGCCCATCTAGTACATCTACAAGTTATGATTGTGGACACTGTTTAGTTTAAATTATCTTCAATTGTTCTATTTAAAAAATGTGTTTTGTGTTCGAGCCTCAAGGATTTTCAATTTGGAAAAAATTCAATAAAAGAAATTCACAGTTATATTTGGAAAAAAAAACCATCAATCTCATATCAAGATTCACCACTCTTGTTACCATCTAAAGTTGACCTATTGTCACAAATCCTCATTAATTATTTCAAATTTCAATTTGCTATTCAATTATTATTATTTCAAATTTCCAGAATCGAGCCTGCTTGGAATCGAATCAGCTTCCCTCAAATTTGAAGGGAAACACTATAACCACTTGGCTACTTAGACTTTTAATTAGGCTCTAATAATTATCTAGCATTTTTGTTTCCCGTGGTCAAACTTTGGTATAAAATATCTTCAACCAACATGCAAACATTATTTATGTTTCAGATGGCAGAGCCCCGGTGTGAGGATGAAGGTATCTTAAGGGAGTGGGCCCCTCTAAGCAGGCTACTACGGGAAGTACCACTGACTGTACGCCGAGGACTGTATTTTGAAAATGTCAGCCTAACATGTGTTGATGCATTACCGGAGTATTTGGCAGTTGGAACAAATATAGGTGTCGTGTATTGGTACAACCGCGAGAACCATAATCTGCAAAGATTGAGACCTGAGGTAATATTTCTTCAGAGTTTTTTTTACACAAAAGATTTTGTAGGGAACATCCCAAACCCTGATCTAGCTACGGTTTTTCTTAGGTTACTCGATTAATCAATAAGAAAACCTTATTCAAAATTGATATTAAACAACCTCTGGAAACAGTCCATAAATATGTCACAACAGGATTAACAATTGTCTGAATTATGATGACAAGTCAACATTAATTGGGAACAGAAAAAAGTTAGGTAGGTAATCCTTTATGTAATGCAGTAGGCATCCCTGTAGTTAACCTACTAACATGGCCTAGTTGTTAAGTTATTATTATTCTATACAAGTTAAGAAAATTTCCCATATGGGGAATAACGTTGCTCTCCTGGTAAGACCTGGACCTGGGACCAATTTAATTCTTTGTATTGAGGTCCCAGGGCCAAAAACACCATCCGTTTAAATTCATAAATATATATTTACAGTAGGCCTATGTGCCTGTTAGCACGATAACTCGAGCAAAAATGATCCGATTTTGATGACATTTTGTAAAAACGTGTAAACATACATTTATACGTACAAGTTTGCGAACCAGCATATGGCAACAGGGTTTAAAATGCATAAAAACAAAATTTTGAAATTTGTTTTTAAACAATTTTGTAGAGTAAAAAAACAAATATTTTAGTATAGGCTATTGAAGAGGGTTGTCATGCGCTTGATCGTTAAGAAGAGAAAAAAATTGTAAATTTAAAATTCCTATGTTAATATGGCAAATAAGTAAACTGTTATAGCTTCCTTGTTTATGAACACATTTTGATCAAATTTGGAAAATTTCATACTATATAGGTACAGTTCGGTACAATTAACTTTTAACTACAAAACACTTTATTACCTTCCCTGAAGCAGCAAATCTAAGTAATCTTTAAACTAATGTTATTTAATTAGAGAGTATATGACATTTTTAAGTAGATATTTTAGTAAAAATGCAATTACACAAATGGAAATTCACTTTAGTATGCTGGTTTGCTGTGACAGGAGTATTTTATCATTGAGGTGTAACGTATCCTCTAAGTAGAATATAAATACATTGGGTTTAGAATGGAGGGATTCTTTTGTAGCTTTGTTAACAATTAAGATTAGTTCTTTTTTAGCCTGGACCATATATTGAAAGCCCTAAGATCAACGACATCAGGGTTCAATGGATTTAATCAATAGCTTATAAAATTAAATGTAAAAGCTGTACCTATTAAGTTTTTCTTTTTCAGAAAAACACATTCAAAATAACATGTGTGAAACTTGTGTCGTCCGTGGATTATATGGTGGCGGCGGGGGATGAGAGCGGAACCGTCACAGTGTTTAGGATTCCAAAACCTACACCTGAATGGATCAAATCCATTTACAAACAAACCACCGCCTCTACGAATGTAAGTACGATTAACTGTCTACCTACGAGGGAACTCAAATAATAAAATCATATTCCTCCGGTTGATTTTAAATTGACTGGGCTACAAATGATTAATAAGTAAAGTATTATTTTCATTCCTAGAGCCAAAAAGTATCTCAGCTAGATTAACGGACATGCTAAACATTTTACTAACTTTAAAATTTTTATGCTGATTTAAAAAAAAAAAAAAAAAAATAGTCCTGATTAAAAACAATATTTTCATAGGCTATCATTGTTTGAAATTTGTAGCGAATGTTTCACTTAGGGAATAAGCTAAATTACCTTAGGTGTCATGGTAAGACCTAGACCTGGGACCAATTCGCTTAGCCATTAATATCTTATCTTACTAATATTATAAATGAGAAAGTTTGGATGTATGGATGTATGTTTGTGACAAGTGAACGCGAAAAATACTGGTCGGATTGGGCTGAAATTTGGCATGATGATAGCTCAAATTCCCGATTAACATATAGGCATATTCTTATTTCAAAAATCCTTTTGGGCTCCGCCCCAGTGGCTCTGGAGTTTCCCATGTTAACCTTATGAGAAATGGAATTATTGAATCTTAACAGCTGTTTCAACTAAACAAGTTGGTTGTGTTCTATGATGTTCAATAGCATTAAAGCTACAAGGATTACCAACAGGGAGCAGCACTATTATTTCTTTTACATTTATGACAACAGCTAATTTGCAACCAAAAGGTGAGTGAGCGTAGCGAACGAGCTCCAACCTAAAGGTGAGTGAGCGTAGCGAACAAACTTCAACCAGGACGTGATTGAGCCATGCGAACGAGATAATCTTGAAAATTAAGAAGTTAAACGGGACAAAGCCCGCGGGTTACAGCTAGTCTTAATATATAAAAGAAATTTGTGTTAGTTACAGCGTTTATAACTAGAAAACTACTGAACCAATTGGCATGAAAATTTACAGGGATATTCCTTAGGTACTAGAATAACATAATAGCCTGTTTCCGTTTCAAAAACCCTTAAGGGAAGTGTCCTATGGCCATTTGCAGTTAACATGTTAATCTTATGGAAGAATGTTTTATTTTGTTTACCATGCCATTTTTGTCATATCTTGATTAAATTAAATTAAGGAAACAGCTGGTAATGATAACCTAATTTTTAAAAACAAATCTATGCATAACAAATGTATTTTATTCCATTTGTTTTTTACGAATATTTGTTGTCAAATGTAACTGAAGGCAAGTGAGCGCAGCAAACAAGCTTCAACTTAAAGGTGAGTGAACGTAGCGAACAAACTTCAACCAGGACGTGATTGAGCCATGCGAACGAGCTCATCTTGAAAATGAACGAGCATTTGACATAAAACCACATTAGGACAGGACGACGTCTGTCGGGCCAGCTAGTTTTATATAAACCTAAGTATTCATTACACTTATTTATTAAATAAGGAATAATCTGACAATTTTGAAGAAATATTTTACTAAACATCTTGTAACAGGCAATGGGAAATCCACTTAGTCTGCAAGTTTGCTTCAGCGGGGTTATTAATTTTTGTTGCCGCTTCACATTGTATGTTTAAGTAATAAATACACCTTTATGGACTTAACTAGACAAAATTAATTGTAAAAATATTTTGTCAAAAAGCTCCATTGTGGGCTCTGGTGGTGAAATATACTTTGTATTTGTTGTATTGTATTGTAGGTGGAGAGATACACAGTTGGAGGTTTACACTCTACTCCAGTGACAGCGCTAGAGTGGAGCACCAACGGACAGAAACTGTTTAGTGGTGATGCCACTGGCCTAGTAGTACTTACAGAGATTGACTTCTACATGGTAACTTATGCAAATGTGCTATTTAAAACATTCAAATTTTAGTGATGAATATATTTATTCTGTAAGTTAGTCTGAGACTTTTGTAGGGCAATGACATTGGTGTAGTGAGATTAAGTTCAGTCCAGACTGCAAGCTCAACTTAGATTAATACTTTTAACCTTAAAATGCTAAATATGTCAAAGAACTATCCTAGACGAGACTTAGGGGTAGGCGTTCTTGTAAATAATAACACTAGTTACATTTTAACTGCTCAGTGGGCTGCTTAGGTGTTTACCGTGCTAAGACCTTGTGTAGACTGATGTAAGGAGGGAGGATTTAGGCTGGGTTGGAAAAGGTGGTGTGATGTGGTGTGATATGACGCCATGGGAACAGCTATGAGCTCCTATATTTAAATCACCTGATTTTGCATATTGCCAACGCGAACAAAAGTTATGGTAACATTATGGTACAAGTATCAAAGTATGGTAAAATTATGTTACAGTTTGCTTTACTCTAGGTGATCCGTTACTCTAGGTGTTGACAAAATCTCTGAACTGATTGAAAAATTCTTGAACCAATTGTTTGGGTATTTGGTCTTAAACTCTTTGAATTAGACTATTCATCAATTAAATTATAACTGTTTTTACCCTGTTCACATGATAATCCAAACTATTTCAAAACAAGTTTTTGGGGGACATACACATAGAAAGAACAAGCAAAACGTAGGAAAATACTTGATTTGTGATGTAGCTTAAAGAATGTATTAATTTGTCAACAAAGGCCACATGAAGTAGTTCTGAGCTTGACTCCCAGGTTCCGCATGTTAGGTACAGTTTAAAGTTTTTTTTGTTGAGTTATACTTGCATAGATAGTAACTAGTAAGTAATTGTGAATATGGTTACGTTAATCCTGTATTCAATATATTGGATGATGGAGCTGAAGAGTTGATGTTATAGAACCTGAGCAAGGCGTGCGAGATCCTGAATGAGAAGTACAGAGTGGTGCAGCTGAGCTACAATCAGCAATGCCAGGTGTTGGTGGTAGCCACTGAGTACCGCTGTATATCAGCACATAGACCAGACAGTGGCTCTTGGAAGGTGGCTCAGGTCGGCCAGCAGGAGAGACGCAGGTAAACATACAGAGTGGTACAGCTGAGCTACAATCAGCAATGCCAGGTGTTGGTGGTAGCCACTGAGTACCGCTGTATATCAGCACATAGACCAGACAGTGGCTCTTGGAAGGTGTCGCAGGTCGGCCAGCAGGAGAGACGCAGGTAAACATACAGAGTGGTACAGCTGAGCTACAATCAGCAATGTCAGGTGTTGGTGGTAGCCACTGAGTACCGCTGTATATCAGCACATAGACCAGACAGTGGCTCTTGGAAGGTGGCTCAGGTCGGCCAGCAGGAGAGACGCAGGTAAACATACAGAGTGGTACAGCTGAGCTACAATCAGCAATGCCAGGTGTTGGTGGTAGCCACTGAGTACCGCTGTATATCAGCACATAGACCAGACAGTGGCTCTTGGAAGGTGTCGCAGGTCGGCCAGCAGGAGAGACGCAGGTAAACATACAGAGTGGTGCAGCTGAGCTACAATCAGCAATGCCAGGTGTTGGTGGTAGCCACTGAGTACCGCTGTATATCAGCACATAGACCAGACAGTGGCTCTTGGAAGGTGTCGCAGGTCGGCCAGCAGGAGAGACGCAGGTAAACATACAGAGTGGTACAGCTGAGCTACAATCAGCAATGCCAGGTGTTGGTGGTAGCCACTGAGTACCGCTGTATATCAGCACATAGACCAGACAGTGGCTCTTGGAAGGTGGCTCAGGTCGGCCAGCAGGAGAGACGCAGGTAAACATACAGAGTGGTACAGCTGAGCTACAATCAGCAATGCCAGGTGTTGGTGGTAGCCACTGAGTACCGCTGTATATCAGCACATAGACCAGACAGTGGCTCTTGGAAGGTGTCGCAGGTCGGCCAGCAGGAGAGACGCAGGTAAACATACAGAGTGGTGCAGCTGAGCTACAATCAGCAATGCCAGGTGTTGGTGGTAGCCACTGAGTACCGCTGTATATCAGCACATAGACCAGACAGTGGCTCCTGGAAGGTGTCGCAGGTCGGCCAGCAGGAGAGACGCAGGTAAACATACAGAGTGGTACAGCTGAGCTACAATCAGCAATGTCAGGTGTTGGTGGTAGCCACTGAGTACCGCTGTATATCAGCACATAGACCAGACAGTGGCTCTTGGAAGGTGTCGCAGGTCGGCCAGCAGGAGAGACGCAGGTAAACATACAGAGTGGTACAGCTGAGCTACAATCAGCAATGTCAGGTGTTGGTGGTAGCCACTGAGTACCGCTGTATATCAGCACATAGACCAGACAGTGGCTCTTGGAAGGTGTCGCAGGTCGGCCAGCAGGAGAGACGCAGGTAAACATACAGAGTGGTGCAGCTGAGCTACAATCAGCAATGTCAGGTGTTGGTGGTAGCCACTGAGTACCGCTGTATATCAGCACATAGACCAGACAGTGGCTCTTGGAAGGTGTCGCAGGTCGGCCAGCAGGAGAGACGCAGGTAAACATACAGAGTGGTACAGCTGAGCTACAATCAGCAATGCCAGGTGTTGGTGGTAGCCACTGAGTACCGCTGTATATCAGCACATAGACCAGACAGTGGCTCTTGGAAGGTGTCGCAGGTCGGCCAGCAGGAGAGACACAGGTAAACATACAGAGTGGTACAGCTGAGCTACAATCAGCAATGTCAGGTGTTGGTGGTAGCCACTGAGTACCGCTGTATATCAGCACATAGACCAGACAGTGGCTCTTGGAAGGTGTCGCAGGTCGGCCAGCAGGAGAGACGCAGGTAAACATACAGAGTGGTACAGCTGAGCTACAATCAGCAATGTCAGGTGTTGGTGGTAGCCACTGAGTACCGCTGTATATCAGCACATAGACCAGACAGTGGCTCTTGGAAGGTGTCGCAGGTCGGCCAGCAGGAGAGACGCAGGTAAACATACAGAGTGGTACAGCTGAGCTACAATCAGCAATGTCAGGTGTTGGTGGTAGCCACTGAGTACCGCTGTATATCAGCACATAGACCAGACAGTGGCTCTTGGAAGGTGTCGCAGGTCGGCCAGCAGGAGAGACGCAGGTAAACATACAGAGTGGTACAGCTGAGCTACAATCAGCAATGTCAGGTGTTGGTGGTAGCCACTGAGTACCGCTGTATATCAGCACATAGACCAGACAGTGGCTCTTGGAAGGTGTCGCAGGTCGGCCAGCAGGAGAGACGCAGGTAAACATACAGAGTGGTACAGCTGAGCTACAATCAGCAATGTCAGGTGTTGGTGGTAGCCACTGAGTACCGCTGTATATCAGCACATAGACCAGACAGTGGCTCTTGGAAGGTGTCGCAGGTTGGCCAGCAGGAGAGACGCAGGTAAACATACAGAGTGGTACAGCTGAGCTACAATCAGCAATGTCAGGTGTTGGTGGTAGCCACTGAGTACCGCTGTATATCAGCACATAGACCAGACAGTGGCTCTTGGAAGGTGTCGCAGGTCGGCCAGCAGGAGAGACGCAGGTAAACATACAGAGTGGTACAGCTGAGCTACAATCAGCAATGTCAGGTGTTGGTGGTAGCCACTGAGTACCGCTGTATATCAGCACATAGACCAGACAGTGGCTCTTGGAAGGTGTCGCAGGTCGGCCAGCAGGAGAGACACAGGTAAGATACAGAGTGGTGCAGCTGAGCTACTAATCGAATACATCTTTTGAGGTCAACATATTCTGCAGTCACGTTGAAATCAAGAACATCTTCCACAATAATGGAAAATCTAGAACATCTTCCTTTTTTCACTTCATTGTGAAATCAAGAACTTCTCCGCCATCAAGACAAATTGTTACTATTTTCAAGGTTATTGTAAAACTGTGGACATCACCCGCAATCATGCCAAAACTGTCAATTTTTGATCATGAATTTTTTGCAAACGCTTTCCACCATCACAGGAATATTCGCTCGTCTTGCCCCAAGCTTGGCCCTACTTGACCCCTTTCCTTGAGCCAGCTGTTGGCATGACCCAATTCAAAAATACCAGGGACCCGCAGACCCCTAATAAAAAGGTACACTTGCTGCTTGGGAAAACCGGGAAAAATGTGTGTTTTTTTCCAAGAGTTCTGTGGCCACCTTGCTTTCTGAAAGGGCGTGCCTTGTGGTCTGGATCTGAAGAATTTTAATTTCTGGCGCTTCTTTCTTATACATTTCTTCTTCTATAAAGTTCTTATTGCATAAATGATTTAATTAATAAAGCATATGGTGCAGATATATCCACTAACTGTCTATATCTGCAATTAGTGGCAGTTCTAGGAACTTGTCAAGGGAGGAGGGCTAACCGGGGTGTTCCAGGGGTGACCGGCCTTCCCCCCGTCAAATTTGCTATTTTTAAAGCTGTTTTATGACTTTAAAGCCATTTTAAGGTGTAGAACTGTATTTGCACTGATCTCGTTCAAGCCACATCAGATATTAAAAAAGAGTCCAGTGAAAGATTATTTTTGCTGGATGTGAGAATCACATCAATAAGAAGCACAGCAATTATTCAAATAACTTGGGACTTCCCTATCCGAATAGTCAAAAATCCAGGCAATTGAATTTTTGAAGAAAATATGTTAACTAAAATACTATTGATGATGTTCACAATCATTGTATCCATTGTCAATACTATGAAGGTATTTTCAACAATTGTATTCATTCAGGTATGTTTGTTGACAGCCTTTGTAGAGTTGGAGCAACGTTTTTCGTACAGCCTCAGAAACCCTTAGAGCGAACGATATACTCAGGAAGAGCTGGTCTACGCTTCTGGCAGTCAGATAGTAGCGGCACTGTGCACAAAACTTTGATCTTCAAGGTAAAAGACCACTATATCTTACCTTCGTAAATTTTTCTTTCTTTAAAACTATTTAAAAAAATTACTCTTCACAACATATACCTGGGGCATGTAAGTTAAAACTAATAAATGTTAACCCTTCCCAAGCATTGGCCATATATATGCCAACGATGCTATTCAGCTGTGAGTGTTGGCCGTTTATATACACAACTCAGCAACAAGCATACGACGCATATATATGTCAAAACTCAAAACATATAATCGTCATTTAGGTATTTTACAGTTGTTTTTTAGCCATCTTGAGTCATGAGTCTACTTGTTGTTCTGAAAAACTGAAATCTATTAGAGAAATAATGGCTAATAAAGACATTTCTATTTATTTATGATTTAGGCCTACTTCTCTTAACTTTGAAACTAGAACTCTTGTCAAACCCTGATATCAAATACAAACCTTTAAACAAAAAAGTTGGGAACTATATGTTCTTTTCACTTTTTAGAAAGTGAATTATAAAATTTTTGTGTTATGGAGAAAGAGTTATTTTTAACAAAATGTATAGAATCCTTCTTCTGGTTAGATACATGGGCCAGTCTAATATCCATGATCAACCTTAAAAAAAGTTGGAACTCAAGATAAATAAATAAATATCACAAAGTGTTCAAAATATATTTATAACCATATACTAAACAATATAGAAACAGAGCATCTATATCTGTAAATACCTAGACTACCAAGCTACCTATTATTAAAGGTCTGGTAGTGATAATAATGTTTTTCAGGACGCAATAAAGAAGCCGCACCAGCTGATTCGCCTGCTACACCCCCCTCCTGTGAGGGAAGGGGTTGGGGGCTGGGAGGGAGAGCTTGGTGTAGTGATGCCATGGAAGGGACTGTACCTGGTATCTCACAACTCTTCAGGTCTAGTGGTGTTGGACCCGCAGCGTATATCAGTAGTAGCCTGTGTCTATGGGTTGACGGACGTCCACTCTATGGCTGTGACTGCCTCGGAGATATTCATTATTGCCGGCTCACGCAACATCATGAGGCTCTCTTATCTGCCTGATGTATATGGAGGTAACTATATAAAATTTTAAGATTTATATTTTACTGAAAAAAGGTTACTGACAAAAACTGCTAAGTCATAAATTCCTGTGTAAACAAAAGCTTAAAAGATCGAAAGAAACATTACCTTTGTTGTTAGAAAAATAAATCTCATCTACACAGGAGATTTGAGATTTTATCATCAATTCATCAATCTTATTTGTTTACAGGAAGCCAAGAAGAACCTGTAACCTCGCTGTTTGACGAACTGAAAGTGTCTCCTGTTACCGAAACATTTTTGGATTTGACGTCTAGATTGAAACAAACGGCAAACGATTTAGTGAGCAAAAGACCAGTCACTACTGTAAGTGGGTGAGTCATGTTTTTACATTCTCTGGTCTCTGGTGTAAGCTAAAAAATATATTCTGTACTTTTATAAAAATACTAAATAAATATTAAATAGTAACTTTAGCAAAACCTGTATACTAAATTAAAGGTCAACATACCAGAAGTACTATTAGGTAATTCTGGTTTTGGTTAGACAATAATTTGTTTCCATACTTGAGTTTCACCTTAAGTAGAATGTTGTGCTAAAAACAGGGTGTCTAGTAGTCGGGAAAAACGGGAAAGTCGGGAATTAAAATTGAATTTTAAAATGTTCTTGAAAAGTTGGGATTTGTTCTTTATTTTGTTGTTACAGTCAGGAACTTTACTGACCACGTAAAATCTAATCAAATGTCCATTAATTGATGCCTGAAACATATTTCGTAACTTGGACATCGGTATTGGGAATCGATTGTCAAAAAAACCCGATGCGTCCAAGAAGATTGCGACATCGGAAATTACCGCTTTTCCAGGATGGGGGGGGGGGGGGGGGATGACGATAACGTTGCTGTGACCGCGGGTTTCGACATTTAGATGATAAGAATTTTGATAATTAGGTAGGCCCTAATAAAAAACTAATTATTAGGTAATAAGGATAGAAAAAGTCCACAAATACATGATAAGTTACTTAAAATTTTACTTAAAATTAAGGAGTTTCTCCCTATATTTCAAATTTTAATATGGGGTACAGTTTTTTAATTGGGCTAACCTAATATCGATTGAAACTTGAAACTATTGATTGAAAATATCTATTAGGTCCTTAATCAATATTTTTATTTTTAACTATATTAATTATAAAATGAAGTTGTTATAACCTAACCTAACTAACCAAACTTGCTGATAATGAAAACATTGAATGAAGGTTTACTAATCAAATCGATGGTTTCAATCGATATTAGAGTAGCCCAGTTAAGAAACTACCCTTAATCCTACTTTCACACTTCAAGTTGCTGGACTCAAGCCCGGAACCGTTTTACGTATTACTTCATGCTAGGCACAGGGAAAGCTATTACCACACATGTTATTATCACAAAGATAAAAATCCATTGGTGGTTGGTGGGATTAGAACCAGAGACCTGTTTGCAGGACACTCCTAGAAGAGGATGAGGAAGGTACAGATGCGCTAGACTCCTTGGACCTCCCACCAGTCCTACCCGTGGAGGGTGATGTCCTGGAGCTCACCTTACAGAAGGACCCAAGGACACTGAAACTGGACGAGATCGGGAAACAATCATTTGACGACGTTCTCTACTCCTCAACTCGCAAGGTACATTCACAACATGACTCTTGGGATTGGGTTATAGCTATTCCTAGCTACTTAAATTTTCAGGCACCCCTCCATTCACTATAGTGACGGTTTTTAAAGTTGGTTGTCAGTTTTACTAGTTTACTGGTTTTAACAGAAACCCAAAATCAAAATTTTTTAAACTCCCTGTCACTGTTAAAGGATTATAAGAGACTAGTGATATTTATTTTAGGAACAGTATATTATGGTCATGATTCAATATTTACAGCTTGTCATAACCTGTAAAACACATTTTAAAATTGTTGACGATGCTCAGATAATCCACAAAACAATTTCTATTACCTTTTCATAAAGAAACCCTTATGTTTTATTCAAAAATAAAAATAAAATTAAAATATGTAGTTCATTGAAGGGAGTATTTATTGGTTACTCTACAGCAAAGCTAAGAACCTCCACCAGACATTCCTTTGGGTATTTAAATTCCAATCTCTTAGTCTTTGGTTTCCTCTGCTTGTTCAACATCCCGCACTTGATTTCCATCATCGAGTTGGTCTTGACCAGTCCTTAGTAAACTCTCTCTCTCTCTCTCTCCTGTGGCCATTGGAAACCTAGGTGGTTTTTGGCCTCGCCAACCATGTGCCTCCAAGCTCTTTTATCCTCTGCCAGCTCCAAGTCTGCTCCCATTCCTCTCAAGTCCTTCGTCACCTCATCAACCCATCGCATTCTTGGTCTACCTAATGGTCTCCTTCCTTCTGGTATACCTATGAGTACCATCTTTACCATCTCTCTCCTTAGTAAAGGTTATTTCATTTAATCCCATGGTATAGTTTGCTGATAGCCTATCTGGTTTGATGCTAGACTATCTGGTTTGCTGCTAGCCTATCTGGTTTGATGCTAGCCTATCCGGTTTGCTGCTAGCCTATCTGGTTTGATGCTAGCCTATCTGGTTTGCTGCTAGCCTATCTGGTCTTTGCTAGCCTATCTAGTTTGCCGCTAGCATATCTCCTATTTGTTTCGACTCCTAGAGGGTGTTTCAATTACCCTAGAGAATTTCATGCCATCGTTTTTAGAGCTGGTTATAGGTTCAGGGTCGTATCCTACGCCTGGCTTCCTTGTTTGAAGCCTCCTTCTGTTTTTAATTTGTGTTTGTCCTTATTATTCTTTGCCCTGTGGTTAGTCCCCGTCTAGCACCTTCTTTACTTCCTACCAAGAGCCCCACCCCCAGGATGCTGGAGGTGCAGGAGTAGGGAAACTGTCGGAAGGTAGTGGTTCAAGTACTCGCGGAACCAACACTCCGACACCTCCAAGAGGTGGCGGAGGTGGTCCCCCGAATACTTTCCTCACTACCCAGCCTACAGCGATCCCTACACCCACACCTACCACCACCTTACGAATGCGACTCATGGTTAACTAATTGACAAAAAAAGGAGACTTACTAAGATAATTCTTGGTGCTGTTGATTGTTTGAGATTTTTCAATGAAGTAATTTAATGTTTCTATGGAAACATTTATAAAAAAAAACACAGTATATAGTAAAGTGTTAGTGATGTTAAGCATTATACTCTCTTTTTTTAGGATAAATACCCCCACCGCAGCAAACCTGCAGACAAAGCGAATTTCAATTTGCCTGATTGGATTTACATGAAAATGTCTCCTTAAAAATGTCACATTTATTCCCTATTTAAATAGCATTATTTTAACGAGTACTTAGGTTTGCTGAAACAGGGAGGGTAAAACATGTGTTCTTTTGTGAAATGTTAATAGTTTAGTATGAAATTAATGCATTTTGCAAATTTAAACAAAATAAGTTCATAAACAAGCAAACCACAACAGTTTACAATTTTCTCCTTAAGAATAACATGGGAATTATAATAACAATAATTAAATTTACACTTTTTGAACTTTCTCCCTAACCATTAGGCATACAACAATGCTTCAATATACTAAATTATTTGTTTTTTTTTTTAATCTCTACAAAATGGTTGGGAAATAAATTCGAAAATTGTATGGTTTTAGGGTCAAAAATGGGGAAAACCAATTTTTACTCCATAAAACCCCCCAAAAACCCCTGTTTCCATAGTCCGATCATGCTGGTTCGTGAACTCGTTTGAATAAACGTAAGTTTACACGTTTGTACCAAATTTCATCAAAATCGGATGATTTTTGCTTGAGTTATCGCGCCAACAAACACATATAAATATATATTTAAATTATTTGTCTGTTTAAGTAAACAACCTCTTTTCTTCATAAGAAATACATTGGTATTTGATGTCCTGTGGGGCAAAGTCCGAGGACTTTTATTACAAGAATTGGTGAAAGGGGGCGTCTACATAAAAAATACTTAATTTTGACACGTCGGTTGTAAAAATCTGTCCATTATTAAAATTAACGGAGGAGTAGTGTTTCGTAGAAATCACCTTCATGAATACAGTGTGTAAATTAAGTATCAAAACAAATCTGTATTTTTTAAACCGAAATAGATAGAAATATTCTGTTTGTGGCAATAATTGTTAACAAAGGTTCCGCAGTTTTTTACATCAAAAATATTTTTTAGCCCCCCTAACAGGGTGGTGGTAGGGGGTGACTTATTTTTTCAAAATAGTAACCACAATTGAATAACACCTCATTTTGAAGTATTTGTAAAAAAAAAACATAATGACGCAAATTTGAGATGAATATCTCACCCATAGCCAAAATGGCGGATATTCCATAGCGGGTGCTTTTTTACAAAAATAAAAATAAAATTTTGGAATCCCCGCCATTTAGGCTAGGGGTGAAATATCTACCTCGGGTTTGCGTCATTGTTTTTCTTTTAACAAACCCTTCAAAATTAGGGGTTACTCAATAGGGGTTGTTATTGAAAAAATAAGTCACCCCATCCTCTACCCTGTTAAGAGGTGAAAAAATATTGTTGATGTAAAAAATTGCGGAACCTATGTTAACAATCAATTCCAAAAACAGAACATTTCTATCTATTTCGGTTAAAAAAATACAGATTTCTTTCCATTACTTGTGAAATTGGTGCTTTTTCACATACAGGAAATCAAATTTTGGAATGCCTGCCATTTTGGCTAGGGGTGGGATATACACCTCGGGTTTGCTTCATTGTGCTTCTTTTGACAAATCCTTTAAAATGAGTGGTCACTCAATAGAGGTTGCCATTTGAAAAAAAAATTGTCACCCCTTACACACTACCCTGTTAGGGGGGTAAAAAATATTTTTGATGTAAAAAGTTGCGGAACCTTTGTTCACAATTATTGCCACAAACAGAATATTTCTATCTATTTCGGTTTTAAAAATAAAGATTTGTTTCAATACTTAATTTACACACTGTATGCCTGATCAGATATTTAGATATTTTACTAAGGCGGGTATATCCATCAAACCAGATTTTTTTCTTCATAACTTTTGTACAAAAAATTAGTTCAGCCCTGAGGAAAATCTTTTTACTATCAATGAATTATTTCAAGCAAAATACAAAACATAACCACTTTAGTTTATTAATTTTGGCAAAAAATTATGAAATTCCATCCCTTAATTTAATTTAGCCCTGGAAAGGTTAAGGAAAACTGTAGAAACATAAGACATTAATATTAACTAAAGTAATGTGATTAATTATTTACACAATTCATTCTTTACTACCTCAAGGAAGTTAATTAATATTTAAATATTTTATTGGTTTCAGGTCAAAACCAAAAACTCAAAACAAAGTAAAGCCGTAAAAGCTTCAAACAGTAACGGTAAGTAATATTTCAAATTCATTTTACATAGGTAATGGAATATTTATAGTATGCCAAAGCTGGGCAATGAATTTTTAAAATCAACTGATGTAGGCTTAATTTATGAAGAAAGACTGACATGGTCCCACTACAAAGTAAGACCTGTATTTGTATAAAACCACTAAACAGTATCTAACCATTACATTACTGATAAAATTTTTGTTGTTTAAAGGCTAGCAGTGCGGAGTGTGGGGTATGGATTCATGTATCCGCAATACTAAGACTGCTTTCAGAGTAAACTAATGATTTTCTTGGGCAAAGCTCGGTCCCCAGGTACTTTGTATAAAACCACTAAACAGTATCTAACCATTAAAGTACTGATAACGTTTACGTTGTTTACCTCAGTTGCAGCACCAGACACTTGTTCCGACACAGCCAGTGTTGCGAGTGTCAGATCGGGGGAATCAGAGGAGAGCGAGTCTAACAACAACAACAACAACAACGTCGGGGAACAGGTTAACTTCATGATTACCCCTACTCTTAGGCTTTAGTTTAGCTTCTTTCTTTCCTTGTGATCAATAACTACTTCTTTAGAAATGTAAATATCACTAAAAAAATAATGCATTTTTTCTGAGGATTAATTAGTTACTCTGTTATTCATTGTTACAAATGTTATGCACAGTAACAATTTTGAACAAAACACAAATATGTTTTTAATATTTTTCGATTTTAACTAAAAACTAGTAATATCTTAGTTTGTGCAGTGGATATTAGTAGTGAAATGTGTACGTGGTCATGAATGGCATTAAAATTTACAAAGGTCAGTAGTTTCATGCCAGTTGGTTAGAGTCTTGACTCAAGTTTTATCTTATATACAAACGGTGACAATTAAGTCGGATAGGACGACTTTATAACCTTAAAACGAAAAAAGAGATCACAACCAAATTTGGCATATCATAACTGGTAATTGTAAGCTACTTTCGTGTACATTGTGATCGGATGCCTCCTACGGGAGACGGCCCATAGGAAGTAAGTTGAAAATCTTTAATCTAAGCATAGGTTGATATATACATCAGATTTAAGGTCTTTTTTAATTAAAAACAATGCCACAAAACCGGACTTCAAATGGACAACCTTGTCAACAATTACAACCATTCAAAGATTTCTACTTTTTTAAACTTTTTACTTATAAATATGATGATACAACAAGCAGATAAGACAAAACTCTAATTTAGTTCCATATTAACACCAAGGCGTTATCGTTATTTTGCAGCCCCGTTTGTCGTTGGATCTGGTGTCAAGTTCAACTCTCTCAGCTGCCATCCCTCCCGACATTCTGCCTGATCTTAGGAGTCCAGATTCTATCATGAAGGACGTCCACGACAAAGAAATCCTTGTTGCCAAAGCATTTAATTTAGAAGAAGTCCTATTGGCTGCTGAAAAACACTTTGAAAAAGAAGGTTTGATGATTGACTTTAAGATTAATGTTGTTACACAGAGCGTAAGCTTGGGGTTGAAGGATTTCTCAAGAAAAACCAAAACTTTCAACTAATGTAATTTTAATGTTTAGTATGCATTGGTGTTTTTTGTGTCAAGCCCCAAGAGGACTCAAATTCAATTTTTTTATATTTTTCAATTACAAAAAACTTTTTTATTTGGCAAGAATTGGAAGAATACATTTAACACCAAATAAGTTTGCCATTATTAAAGTTGACCCATGTAAAGCAAATTGTGTAGCTAAAAGAACTTTAATTTAATAAAATTCATTAGCATTGATCAGTTGTGTAAACCTAGATACCAGCTACATGATTAAAATAACCTGTAAGAATTTTTGTTAGATTAGCAATCTTGCCCCAATGGGAAAGAATACACATTGGCACAAAAAATAAATTAATTTTACGATTGGGTAATGGTTGTGTATCTTGTAAAACTTTGGTGTTAGATTGCAATGCAGGTACACAGACCAAACTTTCAATTTTATGCAATCTTTAATCTAAAATTCAAAAGTACCTTTATCATTTCAGAGAACGAGACTGAGGGTATCAACAAAGACTGTCTGCCGGAGCTGTTGTCTGGAGTAAAACACATAGAGGAGACTCTGAACTACGGCCCTCCCTCTGGCAGCAGTAGTGCCATACCTTCCCTAGAGGCGGGCAATAACACAGTGCCACAGTATACGGTGCTCAGACAAGACAGCATAGACCACCCTCTAGCTGACGATGTGTGCGGCACTGTCACCAGCGGTACACTTATTTTGTAAAATGTTTAAATTCTTAAAGTATGAAATGACTTCACCATCGACTATTCATCTGTAGTGTTATGATAATACCCCTGCAGCAGCAAAATCTAGTGGTGACTGCAGGATGTGGTTGTCGATTTCAAACCAGTATTGACTGGCTATCCTAGTATTACTCAGTTTGGAAGCTGCTTGTGACTTAGTTTTTGGATATTCAATTCAATTCAAAACTACTTTATTCATCTCTTGTACATAGAAATACATTGAATGGTGTCAACAGCTGCATGTAATAGTTAAATTAAATACATTTCTTACATAACAAAAAAATTTCACACACCTAAGTTTTTTATAATAACACAAAGGAAAAGCCGAACAATATTAATACAATTGTTAACAAAAAATACATTATGTTAAATTTATTTTTATTTTTAACATTCAAAGACTATTCAACTCTTCAAAAGAATAAATAGCCTTGCTGATTAGAAATTTTTTAAATTTAATTTTAAATATTGTTTTGGAAGTCTGATTCAACTTTGATTGGGAAATTTTTTATAAAATTTTGATCCCGCATACAAGGATTCTTTCTTAAAAATTTTCAGACTATGATGGCCAATTGCAAGGTTTTCCCGATTTCTGACTATCCCCAACTCGTTCCAAATTATAAAGGCTGTCCTTTACCGATAAAATTGTTTCAAAAACGTACATTCCATAAATTGTCATTATATTTTCTGATTTAAAATGTTCTTTATTAACCAAAGTTTCAGAATCTAAATTGCAGATAATTTGAATAGCTTTCTTTTGCTTTTTTAGAATAGAATTCAAATTGTAATCACTAGTTTTGCACCATAAAGTGAAATCCCAAAATATATATTTGAGTGGATATATGAAAAATAAATAACTTTTAGAGTTTGTTTTCACATAAAGGTTTCAATCTAGATAATAGTTATTTGTGCAACTAGTGAGAAAAGTGAGCAATTGACTCACTCGAGAGAAATCCATACTCACGAGCCGTAGGCGAGTGAGGAATTGTTTCTCGAGTGAGGCAATTGTACTTTGAACTCGAGTTGCACATTATACTTTTCCTACAGTTACCATAAAACAAATAAATTGGTGAAGAAACATAACCTATTTTTACACAGAAGTGAACTTTTAATATAACATTTAATGTTGAAGTGACAAATACAACAGTACAACAGCTGACCAGCTGATTTACAGCCAGTGCTGCCAACGTATTTCGCGCGCATAAGACGTTGCCTGCATGTTACGCGCTCACTATTTCGTGCCTTCACGTTGCAAATCTGGAGTGAGACAAAGTAATTAGAGTGAGACAATGTTAACATTGTCTCACTGATGAGCGAATTGGCCACTTTGCTTTCTCAAATCAGTGAGAGAACATGTACATTGTTAGGTGACTGTAGGAAAAGAATATAATCCTGATTGGGTATTGATTATTGAACAAAAACCAATGTAACTAGAAAGAGTCCAGAGGCTAATAGATTGTTAGATACCCAATAGCATAACACATAGCACTGATGTCGTTCTGATGTTGGGACTTCTTCAGAGATTGGGCTGAAGAGAATGTCAAAGTTAAAACTGGAGAGATGTTCAGTGTTACCAACTGTAGCCATTATAAAAAACCCAAATTAAATGAGCTATTCTTACATGACACTTGAAAAACAGCAGATTGGCGACTCAACAAGGTCTTGAGATCGAGGCTTAAAAGATTGACTCAATCAAGTGTAGCAAGATTTAAAACTTCAGGTAAACTGAAGTACACAAACGGCTATGTTACAGACGACACATTGACATTGGATTGTAATGATGGCTGGTGTCAGGTGACCACTCCTGAGGTAGCTCAATATGTGAGTGTGTGTAGAGACTACGTAGTGATGAGTGGGCCGAGCAGGACACTACACTCCACTACTGTGCCACCCGCCTCCCCTGCCCGCTGGTCTAGGTAACTTGAACTTGCAAAGGTTTAATATATAGGCTATACTCACTATGTCATGTGTCTTATTGTTAGCTTGTTCTGATAAATCATAACCAACGTTTTACTTAAGGATTTAGTAGGTTTTACTGAATGGGCAAGAGTCCAATCTGGCTCAAGAAACCCAAAATTCTATACTTTAAACACTTCCTGGCTGCTTGTGGAACTTTCATTCCAACAAAAATTATTGTGTAATTAGACCCAAACTTCAACATCCAAAGTGAATGTCCACTTTTGACTTCAAGTTGTCTAGTTTAGTCCAAATAATGTTTGGTAAAAAGTTACACCATGTTGAGTGTCAGTTTTGGGGGTGAGGGTAGTGTTAAACTTAAACTTTCCTCGGTTGTAAATACGGTCAAAACATTTAAAAAAGAGTTTCAACAAAATAAAATCATGAAAAAATAAAAAATGGATCAAAATCTTTTAATTGTGTCCCATTGTTTAGGCTTGGTTACCGAGCCATGGACGTACTGCTTTCACCGGAAGGGCAGCTTGTGTGGAAGCTGGACTTTGATGTTGCAGCTGCTCTACTAGATTCTGATAATAATGGTAACAATCATATTTTCATTTCCTTGATCAACCATAGCATATTTTAAGCTGGGTTTTCTTAGGCGCGGAAGCGGAGCGCGGAGAGAGGAACGTGGATTGCGGAAAAGCGATAACATAGCGTTCCGCTCCGCTTCTAGGAAAATCCAGCTTTAAGCTGGGTAGGAGTATAGATTAGAGTATTATGTGAGTGATCTAGAATAGATTTTTACAAAGAACAACTGATCCTCAGCCAATACAATTGTTAATTGTTTATTGATCAGTGATAGTTAGGTCAACATAAAAACTTTTGAAAAGCTACAAACCATTCTCAGGAATGTACCGGTGATCAAATGATTGACATTTTACTAATTCGTTCTCAAGGAGCATCTATCGCATTATCTTGTAAACTGTTAGCGTGATACAAACTGCTTGACACTCTCACTTTTCTTGTGTAAGCTGGTTGTGTATACATTTCACCACCTTTGCTGTATTTCTAAACCAGGTGCTATTTTCTCCAAAACCTTCTGATGAGAAGTGATATATAATGAAAGTAGAAAAATCAATATAGCCTAGATTATAGTGTGATGAATTATTTTATAGATCATGTCAATAAGAGTGGCAAGCAGTATGGGCTTGCACCCTCCTCCCACCATCCCTTTTGTTATTTTGTACAGTCATCTCAACAATTATTTGGCGTTTATTCAATACTACAAGCGTCTAGTGGTAAGACTCGATGTTACCACATAACTGCATGTTACAGCTTTATTGTTTCATAGGTACAGCTGGTGGTAACTGGGAGATCGCAGCCAGGGGGGTGGAGAGTGTAGCACTAGGCAGTGATGTCGCCTGGTACGTGTCTAGTGGACGAGTCTACCTTCAGACAGAGCTTAGCAGTGTTACACCATACCGAGACGGAAGTCTAGTCCCCTGTCCATCGCTAGTCACCAGTATATGCTGCTCTAAAGAGGTAGGTACTGGATGATTTTTGTAAATCGTCCAAACTTTGGTCTTGTTACTAACCAAGACGTTGATAGAAGTTCTGGGTCTTCAGGTCCCTGATATCTCAAAAAGTCAAAAGTTTTCCTGAGAAATCAGTTCAGGCCAGAAATAAAATCACGATCGAAAGATTAAAATGTTACTTCGATTGTAAGGAAATAACGATGATGTCTATTGTCATCATGGCGGCGGATAACCATGGATAATGTTCCCCACAGATGGTCTGGGTGTTGACCGCTGATCACTGGGTGTTGTGGCGTGCGGGTGTGACTCCCGACTGTCCCGAAGGGTCTCATTGGCAGAGAGTGGACACACCCGGACACGTTCAAGTGGCAGATATAGCGCTGGGACCCTACAACCTCGGCTGGCTAGTGGACCGTAGCAACTCAGTCTACTACAGTGACAACTACATGGAGGACAAATGTGTCTGGTGGCAGGTGAGAGAACCACTCATTGGTTGTATTTATTGTTGAACATCATTTGCTTGGATTCAGTAGTCCTAGTCACATCTGAAATAGGAAGTAGGAAACATCAGTGAATTTTACAATTTTTGACACAGTTTTACTCAAGGAGATTTGGTTTACTAAAATGATTGTCCCTAATGAATTGTTTGTTTTGCAGGTCCTCATAAGGAATTACATGTTTGAGAACAGTTCTCTGTGTCAGATCAGTAGCAATAATAACTCTGTTTGGATCACAAACAGAATGTCTCCTTATGTCTACGTCAACTCAACAGCCATCAAAGGTAACTTTAACTCTTACAGTGGAGAATGCATGGCAAGGTTTAGAGTATTAATTAACTCTAGTTAGTTGTTCTGCTCATGCTTCGCAACAGGGTACGAGTACTTTTAAAAGAGGAAAAACGGTTATACTCATATTTGCGATATAAATTATGAAATTTTACAGGCAAATATCAATTGTACTTATTGCTTATTTTAATGAAAATCCTTTGTATTTGCATTAAACTGTGTGATGGAATCTAAACTAACTACCTTATCGTAATGTAAACATCTGTCATGAGTTTAAAAAGATTAACTCAGGGAAAAGTAAAGAAAAAAACTATGAATAAAAACAAATCTAACTGCTGATGCATCGTAAAATTTTTAAATATGATTAAATACAGCCCTTTGATTGAAGATCGTGCCCTCATCGAAAAACTGATATTCTTCGGGGAAGATTCATATCAAGACCTTTCATTCAAGTATGCGGTTGATAGGTGTGCGGCTTACAGTTTTCTCAAAAGTTCAAGTCCTTATTAGCTCCTATATATAAACAAGAAGAAGATATGTTTATTAACAAAATGAAAATGATTCCTTATCATCATTCAACAAATTTTGTTTTCATAGCCCAATGAGCCAATTGATAGTGATTCATACGCCCTCTTTACCTGCACAGTAGAATAATACCTCTAGTTTGAAATTCTTGGGACATGACATGAACCTTGTCTGAAAAATCATTTGCTTTTTTAAGGTTTGAAACTGGAACCAGCCAGTTCAAATATAATTTTGGATGGTTGAAATTTTTTGTTATCGTCAGTACTAGTGTATCCAACGTAGTGTGTAAAAAATGTGACAACCTAAAAACTCTTGAATCGCCCTGTAAAATTTGCTGAGGTATAATAAATTGTTAAATTTTCCAAAAATGTTTACAGTAAGTTGAGTAATCTAAAGTGTGACCTCAATTCCTGTTCAATTTCCAAGTCTATTATTTATTACCAAACTAGTTATTACAAATTTTGGATGGTTAAAATTTTGTGCTGGTCCCTCAACATTATTCGAGTTATCCAAGATCCACTGCTCTACTTTGTTTTAAATGGTAACCAAACAGTTTTTTATTTGCTATATTATGTTGATGTTCCATTACCTAGGCCACCGATGGACAGAAGTTTCTCTGAGGAACATGACAGCCCCACTGAGATGGAGGCAAATCACAGCTGAAGGAGTGTTTGAGGAGAAGGGATCTCTGTGGTTGCTGTCTACAGGCAATGAACTCTTCCATTTGAGGCCCAACTCTGAAAACCTTAATGTTAGTAAGCTTCGCCTACTATCAGATATTGGCAATTGGCATACATTATTTTTATACGTTGTTAGGCCTACGTTGGATTCAATACCGATTCCAGAATCTCAAACATGCACAAACACATTACCCTTGCAATCATGATGAGACCATGCATTTTTGATTGCATAATCTTTGCACAATCTGCAACTGCATATTCCCAAAACTATGTCCTGAAATATTGCAATAAAATAAAAAAAATCCATAAAACAAGGTTGGTAAATAAACTACACCACCCAAGTAAAGCTTGGATTACATTTTAAAGGTACTTTGTTTAGAAGGATGGATTAATAATAATGATGGGAAACACACTATATTAAAGGCTTAGAAGCATATTTTTGGTTTTCGTTTGTTTTACTTGTCAAGCTGTTGGTCCTAATTCCATTTCATTTTCAATCACTTGGCTCTGTCAGCTTGATTATTTGTCAAGCTGATGACCCTTTTGTCTCCTTATTAATCTGTTGACCTTCATTTTGTTTCCTTGTCAAGTTTTTCTTTATTTTGTCTCATTATTTCCACTCCTTATCAATTTGTGGGCCCTTATTCCATCTCCTTCTCAAGCTGACTCTCCAGTTTCGCCTTGATTGCAGGTGGTGAATGTTCCATGTAGCCCAGATGAAGTGATGGCAGTGACCGCAGCTCCTCACGCTCTCTGGCTGCTGACAGACGGAGGTCAGATCTACGTCAGGCAGGGGATGGGAGACCAGAATCCACAGGGAGACCAGTGGCGTGCTCTCAACATCGAACAGATTAGTAAGAAGGAAACCCTATTATTCTTTATGTTTCGTATTCCTATGAAGGCTTTTTCAATAAAATGGACTGTATATGAAAGGATAATGAATTTAATTAGGTTTACAAAAAAATATTGTTGACTTTTGGTTTTAATTTAGTTAAAATTAAGTTACTATTACCACACATGAAGTTCTGATTTGAAGGTCTAGTAGAGGATGTATGAGTATGGCCATACCTTTCTTCTGGTGAAAGATAGCTTCTTCAAAATAACAGTTTTCAGAGTTCAAAGTTTCACACATACACTAGAAATTAATAGGTTAGACATGCACAATAGAAAGAGTTAATTGAATAAAACAAAATAAGAGGAGAAAAGGATAAAATTGCTTCACAAAACGATAAGTATGAATAAGGTAAAAGCACTGTTTTAAAAAAGAGAATGTGTACATAATTTTTATTGTTGTAATGTTAAACACATGCAAGGCCCCACTAGAAAATCAGAACATGCTGCAGGATCCATGACGTCACATTAGTGGACTGGATAGATTCATTGCCATATCCCATTTGTTTTATGCATGGTAAACAAGCTGGCGGTTCGCCACTCTGTCATATTGATCAGCAGGCATGCCTTTAATGAATACTTAACAACATATACTTAAAACTAGTGATGTGTCAATACCAAAAATTATTGATTCTCAATACCGATACCCGATACTTCAAAATTATACCAGCATTGTTGAAACTTGTTCTTGATTTTCAATCGGATTGAGTGTTTGTTTTGATAGATAGGATTTATTATGTGTATCAAATCCGTTTTTGTACATTGCTAGAAATTAGGAATATTCATAATGGTTTGTGAAACTTTCAGGTGACAAACAAGTAACTCTGAGGCATGTCAGCATCGGATGTGATGTCATCTGGGCTTGTGATACCAAGGGGGACATCTACATGGCTGTGGGGTCTCCCTACCTGATAGCTACAGATACATTCTCCCCAGCCTGGGTGTTAGTAGAAGGCAGACCTCTCTCCAACACAGTGTTTGTCAAGGTAAGTTTTGTTGCTATCTGGGTTTGTGATACCAAGGGTGACATCTACATGGCTGTGGGGTCTCCCTACCTGATAGCTACAGATACATTCTCCCCAGCCTGGGTGTTAGTAGAGGGCAGACCTCTCTCCAACACAGTGTTTGTCAAGGTAAGTTCTGATGTCATGTGGGCTTGTGATACCAAGGGTGACATCTACATGGCTGTGGGGTCTCCCTACCTGATAGCTACAGATACATTCTCCCCAGCCTGGGTGTTAGTAGAAGGCAGACCTCTCTCCAACACAGTGTTTGTCAAGGTAAGTTCTGATGTCATGTGGGCTTGTGATACCAAGGGTGACATCTACATGGCTGTGGGGTCTCCCTACCTGATAGCTACAGATACATTCTCCCCAGCCTGGGTGTTAGTGAAGAGCAGACCTCTCTCCAACACAGTGTTTGTCAAGGTAAGTTCTGATGTCATGTGGGCTTGTGATACCAAGGGTGACATCTACATGGCTGTGGGGTCTCCCTACCTGATAGCTACAGATACATTCTCCCCAGCCTGGGTGTTAGTAGAAGGCAGACCTCTCTCCAACACAGTGTTTGTCAAGGTAAGTTCTGATGTCATGTGGGCTTGTGATACCAAGGGTGACATCTACATGGCTGTGGGGTCTCCCTACCTGATAGCTACAGATACATTCTCCCCAGCCTGGGTGTTAGTAGAAGGCAGACCTCTCTCCAACACAGTGTTTGTCAAGGTAAGTTCTGATGTCATGTGGGCTTGTGATACCAAGGGTGACATCTACATGGCTGTGGGGTCTCCCTACCTGATAGCTACAGATACATTCTCCCCAGCCTGGGTATTAGTAGAGGGCAGACCTCTCTCCAACACAGTGTTTGTCAAGGTAAGTTCTGTTGCTTTCTGGGTTTGTGATACCAAGGGTGACATCTACATGGCTGTAGGGTCTCCCTACCTGATAGCTACAGATACATTCTCCCCAGCCTGGGTGTTAGTAGAGGGCAGACCTCTCTCCAACACAGTGTTTGTCAAGGTAAGTTCTGATGTTATCTGGGCTTGTGATACCAAGGGTAACATCTACATGGCTGTAGGGTCTCCCTACCTGATAGCTACAGATACATTCTCCCCAGCCTGGGTATTAGTGGAGGGCAGACCTCTCTCCAACACAGTGTTTGTCAAGGTAAGTTCTGATGTCATCTGGGCTTGTGATACCAAGGGTGACATCTACATGGCTGTGGGGTCTCCCTACCTGATAGCTACAGATACATTCTCCCCAGCCTGGGTATTAGTGGAGGGCAGACCTCTCTCCAACACAGTGTTTGTCAAGGTAAGTTCTGATGTCATCTGGGCTTGTGATACCAAGGGTGACATCTACATGGCTGTGGGGTCTCCCTACCTGATAGCTACAGATACATTCTCCCCAGCCTGGGTATTAGTGGAGGGCAGACCTCTCTCCAACACAGTGTTTGTCAAGGTAAGTTCTGATGTCATCTGGGTTTGTGATACCAAGGGTGACATCTACATGGCTGTGGGGTCTCCCTACCTGATAGCTACAGATACATTCTCCCCAGCCTGGGTATTAGTAGAGGGCAGACCTCTCTCCAACACAGTGTTTGTCAAGGTAAGTTCTGATGTCATGTGGGCTTGTGACACCAAGGGTGACATCTACATGGCTGTGGGGTCTCCCTACCTGATAGCCACAGATACATTCTCCCCAGCCTGGGTATTAGTAGAGGGCAGACCTCTCTCCAACACAGTGTTTGTCAAGGTAAGTTCTGTTGCTATCTGGGTTTGTGACACCAAGGGTGACATCTACATGGCTGTGGGGTCTCCCTACCTGATAGCCACAGATACATTCTCCCCAGCCTGGGTGTTAGTAGAGGGCAGACCTCTCTCCAACACAGTGTTTGTCAAGGTAAGTTCTGTTGCTATCTGGGTTTGTGACACCAAGGGTGACATCTACATGGCTGTGGGGTCTCCCTACCTGATAGCCATAGATACATTCTCCCCAGCCTGGGTGTTAGTAGAGGGCAGACCTCTCACCAACACAGTGTTTGTCAAGGTAAGTTCTGTTGCTATCTGGGTTTGTGACACCAAGGGTGACATCTACATGGCTGTGGGGTCTCCCTACCTGATAGCTACAGATACATTCTCCCCAGCCTGGGTATTAGTGGCGGGCAGACCTCTCTCCAACACAGTGTTTGTCAAGGTTGTTCTGATGTCATCTGGGCTTGTGACACCAAGGGTGACATCTACAGCCTGGGTGTTAGTGGAGGACAGACCTCTCTGCAAAACAGTGTTTGTCAAGGTAAGTTCTGATGTCGTCTGGGTTTGTGACATCTACATGGTAAAATCATAAGATTCCATGAACATTAGTCTCAGTCAAACATTTTGCTCATGAAGACACTTAATACAATAGGCAGCCTTAAAGTTAAGGTTGGTTTCGATAAAATCAATGTTTTAATTGTTTATTTATTTCAGGTCTTTGTCGGTTCAGAAACACATATTGTCTGGGCAGTTGACAATAAAAGCAACATCTATGTTCGATCGGGAATATTCCATGACTTCCAACTGGGGACTGACTGGGTGTTGGTGTCCGGAGTTAAAGCTTCTCATCTTTCCATTAGGTATTGCTATTTGTGTAGAGTGCAGTACAATCCTCACTAATGTTAACTTCACTCTTGTATTACCCTGATTTCTGATGGATTATCAATTACACCAATTTCAAACAGGGAATATCTCATCATTATTCAAGGATAACTTCATCCTCTTTATCTCCACCAAGTTAAAGATTTTTGGATCCAATTATAATTCAATCCATATAAGTTACACACTATAAAAATTTATGCATTATTAAGATACAACAAATAATGTTGAGAAAAGTAAGAAACTTTTGATTGAAACCCCCTTGATTGTTGGGCTTGTAATAAATAAGCGGGTCTTAGTAACAAAGCTACACAAGCCTTCTTACTCCATTCTACACTCATATTTGGTTCCTATCTCGTGTTCCAGTGGTTCGTCAGTCTGGGCTCTATCTACCAGCGGAGGTGTGTTCTGTCGGGCTGGTATCTCTGAGAACAACTACATTGGCAATTACTGGTACCAGGTGCCGGGGGCCCTGGGTCTATTGACAGCCTCAGTCAGTGAAGGGTTGTGGGGTGTCCTAGACAAAGGTGGCAGTCTGGCCGTCTACCAGCCGCATATGGTCTCCCTGACTGAAGAGGCCAGGTCGGCAGCAAGCACAGACAAAGACGACGACTGGGAGGTGATATAGGGGCTGCCTCTCTACACTAGTGATTGTTTGATAGCAACGAAAGTGAAACGATTGCCTGATTCATAGAATAATTCTATGACCACAGACAAATACACTTGGTGCGATAGAGAGTTGACTCTCTACCCAAACTAGTGAGCTCAGTAAAATGTTGTCGTAACTGTTTAATATGGTAATTAATGGTTAGGACTATGAATCAATTTTTTTGAATTTGATTTCAGTTTATTGTTAACTTTTGTTAAATTTATGTTAGCTTGGCATATTTTTACTAAGTTTAAACATTTTTTCCCATAAAAAAATCAAATAGGGAGTAATTCAAAATTTGATACCGAATATGTAATGTTACCTTAGTTTAAAATACTGTAATACTTATCTGATAAATACTTACAGTCGGGACCACGTAAGTTTGCAGTTGAGGGAGGAGCCTATTTGCCATATGGTTTTGAATGAACCAATGAGAACCGTGCGGTGTTACCAAATCTAATAATACCAGCTGATTTGAAAATATTACTTAGTATGTTTTAATTAGTGCTGTCAACAGGCGATGTGGCAACGTCACACTAGCCTTGTCTTGTGATTGGCTGCCACCAACTGCAAACTTACGTGGTCCCGACTTTACTTATTGGGATGAGATGTTTCATAACATCATGAACTAAGTAACTGAATTAATGATGGTATATATAAAGTCTGTCCAGAAAGTAGATAACGTTTAGAAATTCCTTAAGAATAAACAAAGTATAAGGCAGTTTTAATGCATACTAGCAGCATGGGTCCCTTCGTGACTTCAAAGTCGTGATATTTTTAATAATTTACAATGTTCTACTGCTCTGAGTTAAGTTGAAAATTATCTGTTTTTTACGTGATGATCATTAACTTATAATACTGTCTTGTAATTTTTTCAAGCAAACCCTGAACATTGCTTTGTAACTTGTTTCTCCAATAAATTATGAGATCATTCATAAAAAAGTGAGCACCTCTAAAATATAAAGCATCACAAAAACTACATACTTCATTCATTAGTCCAAGTTCAAAAAGAGGGGAATTTACTGAAATGTCCATTTCTATTGATAAGGGTGAAAACGTATTGCGGGCCCTATTATTATCATTGAGAGCGTGATCTCTTCCAGGCATCTTAGAAAAAATACAAAGACTAATGAAACATACTATGAAATGAAAACACAAAATTTAACGCAATTTTCTTCTTTACATTTTAAACAAATAACAATAGTTTACTTGAATTCACTAAAACATCAATTAATCTTCTATATATATAAAATCCAATGTATGTTTGTTTGTTTGTCCTTTATGGACTCCGAAACCGCTCGACAGATTGTAATGAAACTTTCAAAATTCCTAAAATTAGGGCATTATTAAGCACTATTCAAGGATGGTTTGTGTGAAGTTTGGTGCAGATCCGTCAAAAGGGCTCCGCCCCAGTGGTTCTGCAGTTTCCCATGTTAACCTTATGAGTACTCATATTTAAATAGAATTATTAAAGAATCTTAACAGCTGGTTCAACAAAACAATTTGATTCTGTGATGTCCAATAGCATTAAAAAGTTAATAGGTTTACCAACAGGGTGCAGCACTATTATTTTTTCAAATTTATGACAACAACTAATTTGCAACCAAAAGGTGAGTGAGCGTAGCGAACGAATTTCAACCTGGAGGCGAGTTAGCGTAGCAAACGAGCTAACCTGAAGGCAAGTGAGCGCAGCGAACGAGCTCCAACCTAAATGTGAGTGAGCGTAGCGAACAAACTTCAACCAGAACGTTATTGAGCCATGCGAACGAGTTCATCTTGAAATGAACGAGCACTTGACATAAAACCACATTAGGACAGGACGACATCTGTCGGGCCAGCTAGTATACTATGAAAATACAAAATCTAATTATTTACCCATCGGGTGCAAAACATCACCCGCTTATCAAGCTTATCAGTGACAATCAGGAGTTAAACATTTGTGGAAATGTAGGTGAGGGTCCTGTAATTATTGTCAACTGTCGGGTTTCTTAATCAATCTCAATTTACAAAGTTAAATTATTTCTATAAATTCGTCCGGTCGTTTTTAAATCTAATCCATAGACACACTCCACCTGATTTACCATCCAGACACCGACAGGACTGCCCTAGCCCCTGAAGAGAACTGACAAAAACTTAATTTACTTTCTGGATAGTCCTCCTAGATGATGTCAGTAATCATTGACTTTTGGATACCTAAGTAGACCTCCCATCTACATGGATCAGCTGTAGCCAATTTTTTATTCATAAGTCATAACAATAAAGTTTAATAAGCCACTCACAGAATGTGCCACAATCTAAAATTCAATTTTCCCCCTTAGTCTATGTTACTGAGGTGGTTGATCTGACAGAAAAGATATTATACATAACAATAAGTCGTCCTATTATTTTGACTTGGTTAAAAAGTTGGTGTATTCTATAGAAATCCACTGCACACCATCAGTTGAACACAATTGAACTACTTTAATTTTCATTCCATGAGGATCAACAGCCAAAGCTGTAAATGTAATTTATCTTGGTAATTAAAAATTAATATTACGAGATTAGTGTATTGTACAAGAGTAAACTAAATACAGGTAGCATGCTGCATCCGATTAGATTTGTAAGGGAATGTAGTGCATAGGTTGATGTGATGCCAAACAGATTTTTTATGTGGGTCCCATATATCAGTGCCAAAAACATAATTACATCCGGGCTCCAACCCACCCAAATCCATTGTAATGAACTCCATTGGCTGGCTGGGTAGCTGAGTGGTTATAGTGCTTGCTTAACAATCGAAAGGTTGCCGGTTTGATCATGGAATACCCCGCCAAAGCAAACTTGCAGACTAAGCGAATTTTCATCTTCCTGATTTTATTTTTGCTTAAATCTATTGAAATAACATTAGGTTTAATGAGTAGGTATGCTGCTACACGGAGGACCATGTATGCTGCTACACGGAGGACCATGAAATGTGTTTTTTAGTAAAATATCCGTAGCTTAGTATAAAATTAATAAATTTCCTTAATTTGGTCAAAATATAAATATATGCATAAACAAGCAAACTACAACAGTTTACTCGTTCCTAATATACCTGCTTATAAAGGCATTTACCCAATTAAGTTATTTATTTGTTATATTTATCAACACTTGTGTTTTAATGTTTTTCATAAGGAAACGGTCCAAACCCTGGTATTGTTGTTATCTACTTACGGCAACCTTTTGTTAATTGATAGCCCACAGACAACTTAGCCACCTTCAGATTGGAATATAACTATAATTATAACCACTTGGTTACACAGATGACCTTAACTGTAATAACCCACACACACTTATTACGAGTTCACTTATTTCGCCAACAGACATGCACATCATTAGTTTGCCAGTGTATTATGATTGTAGGCTGAATTATATGATTATGTTATGCCATGATAGAACTGAGACATCTCTATCCCATATTATAGTAAATAGGATTAGTTTCTTTCATAACCACATTCTCTGTTAGTGTTAATCTCATAAATGGTTATTGCTTGTATTTTTCTACCCAATTTCAATGTTTCTAGACTAATACTAAGCAAAAAAAAACCAACTAAACCAATTAGTTTTTATATTTACCTCCTTATATCATATTTGTTAACTATTGTTTTTTGGGTTATCATATTACTTGTCAATTATTGTTGTATGTTTAGTTAAAACTAATTGTACAAATCATTTGTTTTTATTTTTGGATCAGCAAACTGGACTGTGATATTAGATGGATAATGGGTAAGAAGATGTACTGAAATTACTAAGTAATAAGTCCTATTCTTACTACCTAATTTTTGGCCTGGCGAGCTTTTTCTTGTGCATTTTCATCGTTGTAAGGAAGTATTGTGTGTCACATACTTCGCACATTAAATATGATATTACTTTTAGAATTATGTTTAGTGATATATATTTTGACGTGATGTAATTTTAGAACTTCATTTGAATCAGTTATATGTTGGTTTTATGTCAGTGTATTAGATTAAGTAACTTGGTGAATAATTTAGAGCCTTGCTTGTGATTAAAGCAATATTTTGACATTTTTTCAACTTTGGAAATTATTGTATTAATTTAAGTGTACAGACATTCCACACAATGCACTTTTGATCCATGTATTGAGTTAAAACAAAATTATATCTCTTAATAAAGTTGTTAATTTTGATTGGAAAGGTTATAGCTGCTTAAACAAATCATGGGCAAGATGAAGAATTGTACTAGATTAAGTTATACTGCGCCATTCCCTAGGCCATCATCTAATATTTATTAAAATATTTTGGTACAGATATATTTGTATTTTCATTCTTCGAGCTGAATGTTCTCAAAAGCTTTATTTTGACCTATAGATTTAGTTCTAGTAGTGCTACTTGTTATTGTTGATTTTTCAATTATTTTACAATAAAATCTTTATAAATTTGCATCTCTACTTCCACTGAAAGTCCTGAATTCAAAGCAATAAATAATACGGTAATATTGAAATTATTTTTATTGTAATAGAAAACAGGAGTCAACTGGAATGTGTTGAATTCATACAATGAAAATGACAAATTATGAACACAGTTCAAAATGGCAAAGGACTTATCTGAAACAAGTACACCAAGTAAATGCGAAACAATCAACGTTTCTTTACCAATATGGTAAATTATAAGATACAGTATGAATAAAAAGTTTTAAGGCACTGGATCACTAGTCTACCTTGCCTAAGAAAATAATCAACACAATGTTTGAAAAACACCAACTGTTCACAAATTTACAAATCGAATACAACAGTTAAATTAAAAATTAAACCAAACACAATTTAAAGTCAGATAAAATACAATCACACTATCATACCAGGTGTGAATGCACCTGTGACTAAGTTCAATGTTGAAATAAATAAATTAATATTAACATTAACAATGGTAAAAAACAGTAAAACAGTGTGAACTAACAATAAATCACTCAATGTAAGTACAAATTTTCAATAAAAACATTTTTTAATTTTTACGCAATTTGGCAAACATATTAACATACAAGTTCAATAAAAGGGTAAAAAATATTAATATATTATTTATAAATAGTAACTGAGAACATAGAAAGAAGAAAGATACATAAAATGCGTTCATACCGGAAACAAAATCCACATTGATACAATGTAGAAATTTATTCATTCCTCCTCTTTCGCGTAGGCTTGGGATTAATACTGACATACTCCCCTGCTTTAACAACATTACTAGCCTTGGCTGTGGCAGAATCCTTCCAACTCGCCTTTGGTGCGGTTTTAGCCTTGACTGCTCTCGAGCGTTTCTTCGGTTCTTCTGGCGTACCTTCCACCAATTCTTCGTCTTCTTCCTCGTCTTGTGATGCAGAATTGCCGTTGACTTCTACATTCTCTTTCCGTCCTCTCCTTGTCACTTTTGTGGGCTTTGCCGCTGCTTTCTTTGGAGTTTTCTTTTCCGCTGTACTGAAGACAAACTTGCCACTGACTGAAGCTCCCAGTTTTTTCAACTCGTCTTTGAACAGCTTTCGACAGTGATTGTAATCAGGGATCTGTTCCGGCTTCAGTTTGCTTACGTAGTCCAAGAAGTTGACAATGACTGAAATTTAATAACAATATTATTAATTCAGTGACGAATGTATATTCACAACCCAATATCTTCCTGTAACACCTTCTGGTTGTTTTAGATTGTCGGGTCTTTAGATTGTTTTTGGGGGTGGTTGAATGATTCTATGTCCATTTAACTTAATTATTCCCTTTTCACTATTTTTAGTATCACATAATTTATTATTGGTTTGTTTTTTGTTGTTAGTCAGTTCTATGATTTTAGGTTTAGTACTTTTGTACATTGTTTAAATAAATATATTTCCTTAGTATGAAAAAGGTTTTTACAGAGTAAACAGAATGATTGGGGGAAATTGTGATTGGGCATTTTTAAAAGTGTACGTTCTTTCAGAAAACTATTGCTTAGGTCATACAATTGATGAAAATTTGGAGATAAAAATGGATCTGAAAAGGTAAAATATTGTTGAAGCAAAGCGACCTTGCAATGTCAACCAATTACGTCCTTTCATAGGTTACACTACAATAATAAATGACAAATGTATACCTAACCAGGTAAAGAAACTATATTCCATTGAACTTTCACAGAAGGGCAAGACATTTGAATGGATAACTGAAAGCGAAAGAAGTTTTCAATATGTTAAAATTGATATTGTAAAACATTAATTGACTACAATCCCTCATTGTCTTTATGTAATGTAGTCGATGGATGCATCACTAACTGCCCTGGGAGCTGTAATTTTTTCACACCGGTTAAAAAAAGCCGGGTTTTCCTAGGCGCGGAATCGGCGAGCGGAGAGAGGAACACGGAGAGCGGACTCCACTTGTCTTAGGCAATTTAATGTTACTGTTTTCCTAGAAGCGGAGCGGAATGCCATGTTAATTTCAATCCCGCTCTCCGCGTTCCTCTCTCCGCTTCCTCGCCTAGGAAAACCCAGCTTTCAAATTGACAAAGAAGCCACTGCCACTTATTGGGGTGTAAAGAAGTTTTTTTCATACTGCTACGTAGGGATGGACGAGACTGGATTTTAAGTTTGAGACAAGATTCTATTTTCTCACGATAATTCGAGACGAGATCGAGACAAGGTTAAAGATCTCATTATTACTATCGGGAATTATTCCGTTGCGCAATGCTTAATAAGTTAAGTTACAATTAAGTACCATTAAAGCAGTAGATTCGCTGCAGACTGTGTTAACAAATACTTTAGGCTTACATCTAGTAGGGGACTCAACGTTATTGATCATAACCTCACCTAGAGGTGTCGAAGGTAGAGTTTTCTTCACTGACGAAGCTCCAGAACTCAATATGGACTTTTTTTTCTCTTCAACAACTTTAGGGTCTGTGATGTTTTCCCAAGGTAAAGCGGAGGTTGTCCAGTGAAGCAAATTGTATCCAAGCACCTCTAAGTCTCCTCTGCGGGTCCTCACTAGAATCACAGAAATCAATTTAAAGATGAAAGAAACTTAATTTGAACTGATGTACCTAGTATGTTTAATTTATATCAAAATATAAGGTTTTCAAGTGATAGGCAAATCTACAAGAGTACACAGAATTTGCAAATGAGAAAACTATAATATCAACAGTAATCTTTGGAACTTATTTAAATTAGCCTATAATGAAAATTCCAGGTGGAGAGCCATATAGTTATCCAACAGCACTAAGACAATCGGTGAAAAATTATCAATCTACCAGAAAAAAGTCAAGAAAGGGCATTGTCATAAATGGCATCACCATTAGCGTAGCCTGTATCTTAAATGGTAATTGTACCTTTACCTCGTTTGACTATTAACTGAGTATTCACCTCCAGTGTGAGCATCTCTACTAGTGTACTCTATGGTGCCGTCGTGGGCTCGCTTGGGGTCAGGTTTGAAGTCCGTAGAGAGACGAGACGCCAGACCAAAGTCTACCAGATACACCTGGTCCTGGGTGTCGAGTAGTAGGTTGGCTCCCTTCACATCACAGTGGGCGTAGCCCTTGTCATGCATGTACTCCAACACGTCTATCTGCACAAGCGATAGTGGTGTCAGCACTGAGCTAATAATCATTAATGGTTGTATAATAAGAATCAACTAGATATCCCGTTGTTAAAATGGTATAAGATTACCTGTTTCCGTCAGTAATCCTAAATTTGTTGTATTGAGCAACCGGTTTCAAGGTTATAACCTCATCATCAGGCTCTTGTTGTCATATCACTCTTGCGAGATCATCGAGTTTTACAAACACACAAAAACACTAACATTTAAATTAATAAAACACGAGACATATTGACAGACGAAGACAATCAACATAAATGCACACGATGCGGCATGGGCTTAAAATGTTAATGACACGGGCTCATCCCGTACCGCGTCGTGTGTGGAACTAGTTTCCGAATTTATGTTAATCGTCTTCGTCTGTCAATATGTCTCGTGTTTTGTTATGAGAGTATGGAATGTGCCATGTGAGTTATGTAGGTAACATGACTTTTGTCACCCACGGTAACTGAATCATCAGATTCTCCTTAGAAGCTACACAAGGCATCACTCACCCCTCATGTTTAGCATTCATATTAGGATTAAAATTTATTCCCCCCATTGAAAGGCAAAATCTAGGAGGCCCTTCTAAAGAAGCCCCCCTGTAACAACAAAGTATCAATTTAACTGTATTTTGAACCCATTTAGGTAGTCCACCTTAATGTAATCTTAAATCAGTCACTTTTCTGTGACTTCTGTTTTTCATTCTTAGTAAAATTACTGGCCAGTATATACTCTTGTTTTATTAGATAGTGACCACATAACTATTCCCCTTTATAATTGACAGAAACCTTCAAAACACTCACAACTTGTAATCCTATCTGTAAAACTGTTGAGCAAGGGAAGAGCTTCTTGTTTTCCAGGAATATAGACCATAAGTCTTGTCCATATCTGTCCATGACGATGTACCGGAAGCGTTCCTTGTTGTACTCAAACGTCCCAGAGTCCACATAGCACGGCATGCCTAGTCTCTTAAGACCTTTGGATTTCATCCAGCCTTCGACTGCAATCACAAATACCAATGGCAAATTTTAGTTCACCTAACTTAAGCCTTACACAGATTAAAGCATGTATTGGAAGTGAATTTTACAAAGTTATTGAATTAAAATCTTTACTACAGTAGAGTCTTTTTTTGACCAAAACATTGAGAAAAACGGAAAAGCAAAACGGTTGAATATAATAGAAAATTGGTTAAAAATAATCCTCACAAATAACATAAAAAATAAGAGACAAACACCAGTAGTGCAACTGTGAGATAACACGTCTAGCCCACCTAGCCACAGGTTTCTATATGAATCAAACTCAATCTAACTCAAACTCAAACTCTCAATTTTGATAACACGAAAAAGTAAAATAATTGAAGACACAAACACGGCAAAAAACACATTTTACATTTAACCTTCAGCTGATTCAGTCAGATGCGATCCCAGCGGATGTTGAGTCTAGACTGTAGGTGGTCAGTGGTCAGTGGTCAGTGCAGTCCCCAGTTGGTAAGTGTCTTTTGTCATTTAAATTTACAGAACAGTCTTCAGCAGCAGAAGAAGATACAACATTTTCACTGTTGGTTATCTATTTCTAGTCTGTTATTGTTAAATCACTATTACTCGTTTCCGTATTGCATATATCACCACTGTCAGTATTGTTGCCAATTATTATTGTTAACTAGTTATAGATTATTTATCGCCAAGCATGTTATATATTATATTTGTTATTGTTACCTATAGTTATAGTCTGTTATTCGCAGAGCATGTTACTTAATTATTATGATTACCTAGTTAATTCAACTTTCACTCTTCAATTGTTATCACAACTGCATGTCATTTTTATTGAACATGTTTTTCATCTTTTCATTTTAATCTTTGCATGTATCACTGATGTTATCTGTACGACATTTATCAGCATGTAATAAGCATCTTGTTGCATGTATTACAATGTAAAACACTTGTAAAAATGGTGTTTGCCGTAAAATAAATAAATAAAATAAATAAACATTATGTTCTTGCACAGCCTCAGGATAGCACCAATCTAGTGCCGAAGCTAGTTGCTTAATGCATTTTGAAGGATTACCAAAAAAGGTGATAACATAATTTTATAAATTGATTGGTTTGATCGACCTTTTCTATGAATATGTAGACTTCCGTTCCAATCCTTATCATAAATTTTATGAGGACCAGTAATTTTAATTTTTGAAAGATTGCTGCCAATAGCCTATAGCTAAGTAGTAGCCCTATTGGTACCTTAACACATTCGCTGCTGAAAACCTTTAAACAGCGGGGCGGAGCCCCGACGCGCTAACTGAATCAGCGATTGCTATTGGTATTGAAATATCTCAGTAAGACGAATCACAAAAGAGCAGTGGTGATTGTTCTGCGTTACTCCGAAAGTGGACGTAGTTCACTGAAACACCCAAAGGTAGCAGCACTGCCTGGATCAATAACCAGAGTCTTTGTAATACGGCTCGAACTGAGAAAATCCCCGAAAACGGGACAAAAGCATTGCCAGACGGGATTATCTCTCAACATATTAAAAACTAAATTCATGCCGCTCTCATTACGTAAGTCTACCGAATACAAACTTGAAAACCTAACAATTCATGTCTGTGGAAGTCATTTCAACAACTTGTGTTTTTGCAGCGAAATTGAAAGAGTTGACTCATATAAATACCTTGGTATTGTTTTTGATTCAAGGATGAAGTGGTCGGAACATGTTGAATATCTAAAAAATAAACTACGTAAATACATTTATGCATTCAGACAACTTAGTGATGTTCTCGAAGAGCGAGAAATTAAAATAGCTTACTACGCATACGTTCAATCATTGTTATCATTTGGAATTATTGCTTTTGGTGGTGCTTACAAAACTATCTTGCAGCCTCTTTTTGTAATGCAGAAAACAATTTTAAAAGTTGCTTTTAAAAAACACTTTAGATATTCAACTGACGACCTATTTGCAGAATTAGGGGTTTTGACAGTTAGGCAGCTGTTTTTGAAATTTATTTTAGTACACATGTACAACAATTTTGATAATATTTTTGAAAAAACTACTCATTCTCACAATACGCGCTTCGCTCAAAACGTTGGTATATTTGTTCCACAGACTGTAAAATCATTTTCACACACAAACTGCTTTCATTTAACCCAAATTATCTATCGTAAGTTGTGTGATAAATACCAGAATGTCGACATTTTAAATTCACCATCTCTCTCTTTGTTTAAGAGACATGTAGTAGCGTGGCTTGTGGGACTGAGTTCAGAGGACACCGAGGCTGTTATCGCGTCGGGCTGACCTGACCGTTGACCCTACACTACAACACACAATCACTGACTCACCACCTTCAATGACTTAAATACACAACCCGCCACTCCTCTCCGCCCAACCTATCACTTGATTTTTGAGAAGCACTTAAATTCTCCTTAGTTTCAAAAAATATCGTAGTCCAGTTCTAAGCAAGACAAAATTTATATCCAGACGTGATAACAATTTTTTCCAAAAATAATTTTCCCACTCACTAAACAAATTACCCGCAACTCATGTCTACGCACAGGCCCTGCCTATGTAGACAATTTCCATATAGGCTAAGTTGATAAGGTATTTTTTTTTCTTTGTGCCATTTAGTTTTAATATTATTTTGTAAGTTATTTTTAAGTCAAGGATTGTTTAATTTATTATGTTAAAATACCATGAACTGTATTTTTCAATTGGGAAATAAACATTATTTCATTTCATTTCATTTCATTTTCGATTTTACGGGAAATCTTTGTACCAACCTACACCGGAATAAAGCTCGCATTATAAGCTACAGGCTGGTAAAGATTATAACGTTCCCCCGACAATGGCTGAACCACACTGATCCGGCAAACAATGCAATGCGCGCTCCCCCACCGGTGGACCCCCCGCTCCTCAGCTGAGACGCGCGGGGTCCACCGGAGGACCCGCCGCATCGAATGTGTTAAGGGGGAGGGGTATAGCGACCCCTCTGGAGCTGCTCTTGGCCAGAAGGCTGACAAATAGTTTTAAAATGGTTTAAAGAAATCATTGGTGGTACAGTAAATGCTCGCTAATCCAGCATCCTATGGTTTAGCACTTTCAAATAATCCGGCGTCCGCCTGAAATTTGTTGTGTGTTGTAAGTGCCATTTAGCGCATTAGGTAGATCCACAAACATCAGGAGCAAGTAGAGACGTCAGGTGTAAAGAGATGGCAGTTTTAGATTGGATAAACGTAGACAACAATGAACCTGTAGTCCAAGCAATAAACTGATAGTAGAAAGTGTTATAAAGAATCAAGAAGATCGTTGACTAAAAGGCATCTTCTAATCCGATGAATAAATGTCGCTGATGCTTAGAAATTAACAGTTTGTACCTGAAATGAATTCTTTACTAATGGTAGGCTAGTGAGATAAAACTTACTGTCTTCTTTTTTGGCAGCTTTCATGTAGAAGTGCATTTCCACAAAAAGAGGTCCGTTTTCTTGAGGTTCCTTGAAAACCAAGTTTAGATTATTAATGATCCAGTACCTATTAAATTAGTAGGCCTAAATGCTGAAAATTCTAAAAATTAGTCTGCTAGACTAGATCTAGCAACAAGGCTATCTTAAGTAAGGTCAAGGTAATTTTAAAACTTGTATGAAAATTGAAAACAAATATAACAGGTAGGTAATTAAAATTTTACACTTACTATTTTCATGACGTATGTTTGGTTGACTTTGGATATTGAGGTTGATCCTTCTTCCACAGCAGCTATAAAGACACGGAGAAGCTCTGAGTGAAATAATCATAGCTTATCACATAAGGTCATATTTTATAGATTTTAGTTACATGCTGTAGGCCCTAAGTGATTTTTATTCTAGCTGCAGTTGACAAAAACTTTTGCCCCACACACCGCATTTAAAATACTTTAGATAAAGAGCAAGGGCATAAATTTTAGTAAGAAAATTTAACATTAGGCCTACCAACTAGTTATTTTAACTAGGCTATTATTTCTTAAAACCGTAGATTATGCTGAAAAACCACAGTAACTTAAATTAAATTATCAAAACTAAAAAAAAAACAATAAAAAGAAACTGTGGTTTACCTTCTCCTTAACCTTTTACTGTTAGTAGGCCTATAGGATAAAGATTCAAAAGTTTTATTCACCATTCAATACAAGTGATAAGGGTTTTGCAGATTAAGATATTAGATATATTAAACTGTATACCGGTACAGTAGTACGCTTACTTACAGCAACAGTATATTTCTCCAAAACCGCCCTTTCCTATTGAAGTACCCAGTTTCCAGGATTTGTTTTTCTCCCTGCTATTCTTAACAGAGAAACCTGTAGGTATTGGAGGAGGCATTTTGTAGCCGTTGGCCTTTCTGGGCTTCTTTGCTTTAGAGGCCATTATTTGTGACCTGTGAAAACAACACATTTAACATTTAAATACCCTACTTATATTTACATTTTTAAAATATTTACACTTTTATCAATAGGCTACATCATCAATAAAGCATATAGGCTTAACCTTGAACTGAAAAATTAATCTAGGCCTAACAAGATTCCAGCAGAAATAGGTGGGTAGCAAATATCAATTTTAATAGGTGACAATATACACAGCCATAAGGAGGGTTTTACAGTACCTATTCTTAGTACATTAACTGACAATCCAAAGTTGTTTTCCCTGAATTATTATTGAGTAGTAAATTGGGGCTAAGAGTTTTACTAGAAGACCTTGACTTAGATGATGACATGCTTACTTGCCCAGAGAAATGTTCAGCAAAAGATTTTTCATCAGACATTCAGGCCAAATTGGGTTCTCTACAAGAGGCTGAGCTTGTTGGTCTAGACTAAGGAAATGAGATTATAACGCTAGAGCAGCTGGTGCCTAGGACTTGAATGGGAAAGTAGGCCTATTAGAAGGGGTTGTATCGGTTCCGGTATCTCAGTGAGCATCTTAGTAACAGCGGAAAGATGAGCAAAGGAGGAGCAGCATTAAGAAAGGTAATGCGGCTTTTATTCAACTATACACGCCTACCCTATTTGGAATGTGTATCTCTCAGACTCCCACAATGAAACAAAACAAATCAATAAGTTTAGCCTAGAAAAATATTTCTGAATCAGCTAAGTTAACTTAGTGGCCGAGCCAAAGTGGTTTCTTCACTCATAAGTTATCACCTTAAATAAGTCTTGGTATTTTTTCTATTATAGGCCTAATCAATGTAACATAACACCCAGATCCTAGCCTATATAATAAATATTTGAACCTTTTCCATTTCCCAGGACCGAATTACCAAATAGACATGGTAGGCACATGCATAGGGACCCAACAGGCAACCACCAAATTAAATTAGGCCTACTGTAGGGACGAAAGAACATCATTACCGGTACACTACACAATTTACAACTTAGGTAAAGTGACCTAGGCTACAATTAACTTATACTAACTCAAGTACTGTCTTACAGTTCGGCCAAAACTTCTGTGCGCATGGACGAGTCGCTAAGTTACTAGCTGAACTAAAACATACGGGTACCGGCTATTGGCGGTGCTGGGGGTAGGGGTGAGTGAGTAGCGAGCCACAAATGTTTTCACAAAAGTACCCCCGCCAACCCCCTCGCCTAGACCCAAACAGATCTGACCTCGCGTGCACAGAAACTTTGGCCGAACTGTACCATAAGGCCAAATTAAAGATAAGATAGGCATAGGCTATCCTAGGCCTAAGGTCAGATATATAAATAAATATAGGCCTAGACCCTAAGTTTACTTCAAGGCAACGTAGGCCTAGGCTAGTAGTTTATTCTCTGTAATATAAGAGAATAAACTTACTATTAAAACGGACTTAAATCTAGATTTTGTAGGACCATCTTTAAATTACAGTTGATTTGGCGCGTCTTTTACTTTATTTACTCAGGAAATTACTGGGCTACAACACTAGGCGGCCTAAAATTTATTCAGTTAGGCCTAGGTAGGCTAAGGTTAGAATTTCAAATGGAATTAAGTTAGGCCTACTTAACTTACCTTTTTAATTAGTTTAAAACTAGGCTAGTTGCTTGGGTCTATATAAAATTTCAGATGATTTGGTACCACCAAACACTTTTTCCTACAATTGCCTGAAATAAATTAATATTTTCTTTTAACACAAATAACAATCTGTAAAGATAAAGCACTAAAAATTATATTATTTACTTCACTCACTTGAGTTTTGTTTTGAGTTTGAGTGCCGGGCCGGGCTGACTGACTACCGATTTCGATTTCCGAACCAGAAAAAATACCAAATTGAATTTATTTCTCTTTTTCAGTTCACCTTTGGTTGGTTCTTGTTCTTTTTCTACTCACCCGGGGGCCAACCATTACGAAAAATCATCCAATCCTTGTATTTCCCGCCAAGAGTAGGAAGACTGGAAGTTTTTTCTACTTTTCTTGTTTGCTTCTTGCATGGAAGCATTGAGTATATGGAAGCAAGCTTAAATCCAGTGCCAGTGTGATTGAAAAGTCTCAGAATGTTTTGTCAGAATGTTTATGTTTTACCATTATAGACAAAGCAATTATTATTAGCCTGGGATACAGGTTCCTTGAGGCTCCTGTTATGATCTTCAATCCCTCCTGAAGCTGCCTTCACTGGAATCCCGACGCTTCACGCTTCACCCACGACGTACCGTTCCTCCAGCGTCTGGTCACCTCTGAACTTGATTCAATGATTCAATGATTCAATGATTCAATGATTCAATGATTTATTCGGCCATTAAGCAAAGCAATAGGCTAAGTCAATACAATACAATACAAAGTAATTAAATAATAAATAGTCTCTTGATTCACAAATAATGAATGCATGTTAGATAAATATAATAATAAGGAAACAAATAAAACCATGCAAAACAAAACTGTAGCAAAACCATGCAAAAAAAAACAGGCAAGAAAATAGCCATGCAAGGCAGTCAGTGCATGAGCATTACCTATAACAAAACTGGTAGTCCTACTTTATAAAATTCAGACAGGTCATAAAAAGGGTTTTCTGTCAACCAGTCCTTCATTACTGCCTTGAACCTTGAAATAGGCAAGTCCCTTATGGCTACTGGTAGGTGGTTGAAAAATCTGTAACCTGAAACAGGGAAGCATTTAATTGTTCTGCTCAGCCTGTGTCTATGTGCAAAAACATTTAAAGAATTTCTTGTGGCATAGTTGTGTACTTGGTTGTTTCTCAAAAGGTGCACTTCATTTGCCTTAATTTCTAAAAGACATTGAAAGATATATACATTATATACAGTCATGATGTGGTTTTGTTGGAACAGAGGACGGCAGTGTTCCAGGTACTGGGCTCCACTCAGCACCCTGACAGCCTCCTTTTGCAACACTAGAATTTTACTTACACCAGAAGAATGGCCCCAGAGCCTGGTTCCGTAAATAATGATGGAGTGGAAAAAAGCAAAATAAGAGGCTCGAATGAATTCCCCAGACAAGTCAGTACTCAGTCTTCTGAGCAGGAATATGACCCTGCTCAGCCTACCGCACACCGACTCTATGTGGTCTCCCCAGGTGAGGTGTGGGTCCAGAGTGAAGCCCAATAACTTCACAGGTCCAGTCTTTTCACATGCCATGTCCAGACTGAAGGTCATTGATTGGGTTTTGGACTCATTCAAAACAAGTTTGTTATCATTGAACCATGAGGTGGCCATGACAAGAAGGCTTTCAACCTTAGATCTAGAAATACTGAGGATGGGATCCTTGGCAAACAGGGTTGTGTCATCAGCATAAAATATGGCTCTACCAGACACATGGTAGTACAAGTCATTAATAGACACAAGGAACAGAAATGGGCCCAAAATGGAGCCTTGAGGAACACCATGATTCACAGACAAAAGAGAGGAGTTTCTACCTCTCCAAGATACTACCTGTTGTCTATTGCTAAGATAGGATCTGAGCACCTTGAGTGCATCGCCGCGTACGCCATATCTTTCCAGCTTCAGGATTAGGATATTGTGTGAAACACAATCAAATGCTCGTGAAAGGTCACAAAGCAAAACTGAGACATTTAATCTATTTTCGAGTGAGTTGAGCACAGTCTGGAGAAGGGAGTCCACTGCCGAGACAGTAGACCTGCCCCTCCTAAAACCAAACTGAGCTGGCACAAGCAGGCGATGGTCCTCAAAGTGCTCGTACAACTGTTCTAGCATAACAGCTTCAAACACTTTGGCAAATATGGGGATAATAGCAATAGGCCTATAACTACTGACATTGTCATGGGCTCCTTTCTTAAACACTGGGACTACCCTGGATATTTTCATTGCATCAGGAAAAATTCCCTCTTTCAGACAAGCATTGATCACATTTGCAAGGTGATTTGCAACATAGTGGACAAAACCTTTTAGTAGATCAGTTGACATATCAAAGTAATCTTTACTTTTAGATTGCTTGAAACTGTGAACAATTTTAATTATGTTAAGGGCAGTAACAGGCTTCCAAGAAAAGTCGAAGGGAACCAAAGGAACCTTTTCCAGGTTACATCCAGTACTGTCTACATTGGGGTTAGCCCCTTGTGAAATATTATTTACAGTGCTACAGCTGTTTACAAGTTCCTCCACAGAGTTAAGGAAATATTCATTAAAATCCTCTGCTTTAGCAAATTCACAACTAACAGGAGCTGACTTAGTCCTAGTTCCCTTAATAAAATCCCAAGCTGCTTTACAGGGATTAGGTGCCTGTGAGATAGATGAGGCAAGGTAAGCTTGTTTTGCCTCTTTTACTTTTATTTTATAATCAGTCCTCAAACTCCTTAAATAAGGTATGAGAGCAGGGCTACTTTTTGAAATATCGCTAACTAGGATTACTTGATCTCTCAACTTAGACAACTCTGGATTGTACCAGTTACCAGACTTCTTAATTTTATTGTTTTGAGTAGGCCTACTATCAGTTATCTTTGTTTTGAGGGGGACACAAGAGTCAAAAGCATACTTAATGTTGTCAAAAAAATATGTAAATGACATACAAGCTGGAAGATAGGCCAGAGATTCATTCCATAAATTCTGATATGATTTCAACACATCGTGAAATGCCTTAACATTTGATGGGCTGAGTAACCTAAAGCTAACCTTAAAACTAAGTTTACCAGCTAACAGTTCCTCCCCCTTCAAGTCAAATTTAGGTCCAGTAGACAAACTTAGGATGACATGTTGATGGTCAGCAATCTGGTCTCTGCTAACCCAAGCACGATAGTTCCAGCAGTCAAAGTTGGTTAAGAATGTGTCCAGAGATGCTTTACCTCTTGTTGGCTCAATAATACTACTATAGATATTGAAACTACGTAGTAGGTTTAAAAAATCACGAGCCTCACTTGTAGGCTTTAGTAAATCTATGTTATGGTCAGTTCCAATAACCACAGAGAGACCAAGAGTGGTGAGATAATAAAGACATTGGTTCAGAAGTCTTAAGAAAGTGACAATACTACCACTTGGTGACCTGTACATGGTAACAACAACAAGAGATAGTTCATGTATTGCTACAGCTGCAAATTCACCTTGTACTTCAATAGAAAAGTTACTCAGGTCCAAAGGTATACAGGTTAGTTCATTGCGCACAAACAATGCCACACCACCCCAGGGGCGTGAACGACAAAAGTGGGATACAAGGTTGAGATTTGAAATTTTACTATAATAGTCTATTTCATCGTTTACCATCCAATGCTCTTGAATACATAGAATGTCAATTTTTCGTTCCATGCACAGAATTTCCAAAAGAGGAATTTTGTTTCTCAAGCTTTGGGTATTTACAGTACAAAAGTTTAAGATATTTTCACAAGCAGCACTGGGCTGACAGATCACATCCTTTTCCCTAAAAAAGTACGAGAGGGCACGTAGTCTCGGTTTTGTCTAGGCCTAACCTCAAACTCCTTAACTAAGGTACCTACTGGCCAAAAGGACGAATCGAGAACCCTGGTAATCTCCGCTGGAGATATTCCTACTTTAAAAGAACTGTACGAGTCGTACTTAGTATTTAATTTTACACACTCACCAGCTATTTTACTGTCTTGGAGGTATGAGGTAATTTCATCAGGTTTAGTGTCACTGGCCAATCTAGAAACGAACACCCAACTTTTCCTCTCAACCGCCCTAACCTTAGATTGGGAATTACTGGAATCGTTTAACTTACTCCCAATAATGATAGACTGCTTTCTATTGCTAGGTCGGGATTGTTTAGCCACTTTGTATTTCCACTCCTGATTACCAGATTTCGCGGTAGCCCTATCTCCAGTACCTTGTGTAGCCTGGGCATAGGACTTGGCCTTCACTGTAGGCCTATCAGATAACTTGGTGTTGTTTAGGTCTAAGTTTATACACTCCTGAGAGGTTAATGGAAAGTCAGTTACTTGTACAGCAAGATCTTCCTCTTTGGTGAAAGACTCAGGTAAAACTAATTGACTAGATATATTAGCTTCTAGGCCAATATTGACACTAGGATCAACCGGCTTTGTATGTAAATCCAATATTAAATCTAGTTTGTTGTTGATACAAGCATTATCAGAAACAACTTTGTTAACAATTTTAAGTAAATTCAAAATACTTGACTTAATTTCTTCGACATCTTCAGCCTTCTCAATGAATTTTTCAAACCTAACCTCACATGCACTACAAGCCCACTTGGACTTCTTACCTAATAAACTCATATAATTGTACTCTTCGCAACTTATTAGCACACATTCAGAATGATACCATTTACGGCAGAAAAATTCACAGAAAACTCCTTTACCATCATCTAAAACAGCATTTTTACAGACTGGACAGATATCTTCGTTCTGCCCACCAGCCATGACAGTTCCACTCTCCTTTCCACTTCTCCTTCCTTGATTGCCCAGAACTACTCCAGAAGGTCAACTTCAGGGTTCCCACTGGTACTCACTCCACTGACCTATTCACCAGGGTAGCACTGGTAGCAGCCTCCTCAAATTACGGTAGGAACAGTCCAGTGAGACTTCAAAGGCACGGGAACCTAATACCTGGAAACCTCGACATCTTCGGCTGCAGCTCATCCATCTTTAAAAGAAATCTGCTCAAGGCGCAAGTTAGTGATTGTGTTCGGTGATCGGTGGCCCTCAGTGATGTGTGATAGGTATCATCGCCCCGGGTTGATGTTCAATTATGTCTTTCTTTAATTTTTCTGTTTTCTTTTCTGGATGTAA